CAGGCTCCAGTGTCCCGTGCCCCCAGGATGTATTCTGGCTTGGTGGCTGTGTGACCATGAGACATGAAACGGGATGACCAGGTATGAAGGCCTTGCTTTTTATTACGAAGTTATTTTTCCTGGCTGAGGCCATTTCTTTGAGCACCTCCTGCTTTCAGTTCCCGCAGGGGTGCCCCACCCGCACAGGCCGCGCGCGGCCCAGGATGGCTAAATGCGGCCAACACAGGATCATTTAGTTTACTTAAGACCTTTTTGCTGCTCATCAGTTTTCGGTAGTATTTGTGTATTTAATGTGTGGCCCAGAGACGCCGAGAGGCTGGACACCCCGCTGGTGAGATCTGGTGGCAGCAAACGCTGCCCGGAGTCGGACTTGGCCCTGGAGCCAGGCCTGTCATCCCGCCGGGCTGCTGTCACCGCGCCAGCGGTCGTCCGTGTTCCTCTCTGTTCGTGGGTGGCTCCCTGGTGAACTCCGTTTCCAGGACTGTGTGTTTACATTGCTGAGGGACAGGAGGTGCAAGATCAAAGCCCCCTGGCCTAGCGTGCGGCTGGCAGGAGCCCCAGGCTTGCACGGGAAGTGGGAGGTAGGGACCGAGGAAAAGTGGGAAAAGCACGTGGCCAGTGACTGACAGAAGCTGCCATGCTTTTTTGGTGAAATGGAAGTTGCTCAAAGGTTGGAAAGTAAGGAAGCAGTGTCACCCTATAAATAGGTTTAAACTGAACAGTAAGGACAGAGGACTCACATGCCTGTCACCAACTGAGGCACGAAGGGCAGGCAGTCGCTGGCCGCAGATGTCGGAGTGCGTCATCAGAGCCCCAGAGGTCTCCTGCTCTGTGCTCCGGTGGCAGGAGTGGCAGGAGTGGCAGGAGGGGGGACCTGTGCACAGGAAGGGTCCCTTCCACATTGTGACCCTGTTCAGAGTCCAAAGCCACTTTTTCCAAAGCCTAACTACTTTCTGTAGTTCTTTATGCTCGTCTTAAATTCTTCCTACGGGAAGTTTAGCCCGTTTCCTCCTTTCACGTTAATAACCAGCACCGGATTGTTTTACAGTAGACATCTGCGGTGCACGAGCCACGGGCTCTGGAGATAGGACCTGGCTTCAGATCTCAGGCAGCTACTCACTGTGTAACCTGGCTTCTCTGTTCAAGTGTGTCTGTAAAATGGAGATAATTGAATTTAGGATTATGAAAGGATTGAATGAGTTAATACACGTAAAGCACTCATGTTGTGTTAGCTAGTAACGCTGAATAGTTTTTAGTTAACGTGGATGTGCCATATTTTAATCATTGAGCAGTTAGGTGGTTTTGTTTTGCCCACCTCTTCATGATTTTGTCCTTTGAGATAAAGAATTGGTACTCTTTTGTCTGCAGACTTCTGGATTGGTCAATTAAGGGTGGGGGTGGGGGAAGAAAACCCAACAAAAACATGTTCAGTTAGCCATGGTCTCTTGAGGACATCACCCATGGGTACAGAAATGAAACAAGCTGTCATTTCCTGGAGACAGTGAAACTTTACTCCATCTTATCTTTGTATCAGAGCATTTTAGGCTATTGTGTGGACCTGTTAATGAGCGAAAAGAACAATTCAGGTTTCCTTCGGAAAAAGTGAACCAGTTAGCCCAGGTGTAAACTATCTCAGATCCTTTGAGAGGAGGAGGCTGCCCCTTTACAAGGGGCTGCATATATTTTTGGGGGCGGTGGGGGGAATGCATGGAGACATTCCTGTGCTCCTTGAAAACTATTCCTGGGCATCCTAGACAAAGCAGGCTTCTCCACCAGGGCCTGGTTTCTGTCAGTGACTCGGACATGCAGTGACTTCACCCACTCCTGGACGGAGGCTCGAGACTGATACAGGCTCTCGTTCGTTGCCCTGATTTCCAAAATCCCTGTGTGTCTCTACCCGCATCCTTTCCTGCTTGCTCCGTTTCTAAAGAATGTCTCTCTTAGCATAAGTGGAACAGTGTGAGCTTTGAAACTATAAAACATGAAGTCCTGGTGAGGCCCTGACTTAGGAAAGTAAACACGGGCCAGTCACTGAATGTCCCCAACCCATCTCCTTGCCTACATGGTAACCAACACCCGCCTCCATCGCGAGCAAGAGCCAGGGTGTTTGGGGCGTGCTTGGCCGCACGGGCGTTCCTCCAGTGGCAATTGTCGCTCTGAGTCCTACACAGCTGCTCTTCAGCCGGTCCTCCTTGTCCTACAATATGTCTTTACTCCTCTTCATTTCAGTTCCAGCGTTAAGCTGGAAACCTATCTTCTAAAAGTTAGAGCATCACCTCACATGTCCCAAATCTAACTCATTATTATAGTTCCCCATAAAGTTTTTTTGGGTCCCTTTATGTTAAAAAATGATTTATACTTAAAAGTTTTTCAGAAAAACATCGATCAGTTTCCTCCTCTACATGCCCTGATCGGCAGCTGAACCTGCAGCCTAGGTATGTGCCCTGACCGGGAGTCCAGCCTATGACCTTTTGGTGTGTGGACAACACTCCAACTAACTGCCACACTGGCCAGGGCTCCATCTTTTTATTAAGAGTAAAAATCACATGGTTTAGTGGGGTTGTTCCGGTGCCCATCAGCCATTTTGTCTCAGAATTACTGAAAGGGAAGTCCCTACCCTGGCACAGCCTCTCCCGGGCTGGTTAGCACAGGCACACCTCGGGGGTGCTGGAGGTTTCAAACGTTCCAGACCACTGCAGTGAAGTCCCGCAAATTTTCTGGTTTCCCAGTGCATATAAAAGTTGTTTATACTATACTGTAGTCTGGTTAAGTGTACAACAGCAATATATACAAAAAAAAAAAAAAAAAGTATCTTAATTTAAAAAAATACCTTGTTAAAAATTGCTAACCATCATTGAGAACCTGTTAAATGGTGCTGATAGACCTGCTTGACGCGGAGTTGCCAAATGTCCCATTTAAAAAAAAAATCCGTTAAGTGCACTAAAGTGAGATACGGTTGTATGTATGAGTGGCTGTGAACATATACTCAGTCACCAGATGTGAATGAGATAATAACGAAGATGCCATCGTTTCCATGATTTTAAATCTGGGGAATGTATGGAATACTCTCAATCTATTAACTCTTCATAGAGAAAAACTTTTATTTATGGTTGTGGTGTGCACAGGATCCTTGTCATTAAGCAAGAGATAGAGGAAGCAGGGAGCACAGTGTCCTGCTGAGTTCAAGGAGTTCACAAAGGCTAGTCTCGGGGAGGTGGCGGCAGGCGGCAGAGTTGGGTCAGGCAAGTAATCAGGATCACTAGGATTATCCAACGTTAAACATTAGAGAAAATACAGACATGAAGTAAATTAAAATGAAGCTATTTCCCTAGTAAATGGAAGCATGAATCACAAGTAATTTCCTTTAACATTATGAGATGGAGTTTGTTACTACTGGAATAGTTCTATCCATAACAGCAACCATAATCAACTGATAACTGGCATGTTTTCTAATAGTTAGTCATGGGAACGAGCAGTAAAAAAAAAGTGAACAATGAGTTAAGGCACATTTAGACAAATTAAATGTTTTGATTATTTTATTTTTAATCTTCAAAATTTTCTGCCATTAGACAGGAATGCATGATAGAAATGGCTCAACATCTTCACATGAAACACTTGGATTCATTTTCATTCACAAGTTTTTCTAAAAACATCTACAATTTCATAATCCCACCCACTTCCAACCATTATCACAGATTTGATTGACTGTTAAACAGTAGTCGCCAGCAGTAGAGCTGGAACGCTTTCTGCGTATTAGTAGTGTCTTTTGAAACTACCACCCAAGAGTATCATGATTATAAATCTCATTGTACACAGCAACCCCAAAGGTGACTGATGTCCCCACATACACTCCCTGCTTACCATGGAGAGCTTGAAGAAATGCTTTTTCTACTCGGAACTACTTGTTCATCTCAGTACTTTTCTCACAGGGATGATTTAGTCACCACTGCGAACAGGCAAATATGTATGCCTGATACTCTTTGATAATTATGTACAGAACATACTGAAAATAGATGAGTTGCTTGGAATCTCCCTCTCTTCTTTTGAAGAGAGCTACTTTGAGGTGTTTTTTTTTTTTTGAGCAGTTGTAAACAAAAGGAAAGAGATATACACAGACATCTATCTATATACTTAGAGATATACACTGAGTATTTTCAATGTGGCGTATACCTGCTTACAGAGAGACACACACAGACACGGAGTGCCCACACTCACCGTTCACACACACCCACACCCTTACATACAGCATGGGAAGATAAACGTGTGAGGGTCCTTGGGAGTTCACTGGAGTTTGTATGTTACCAAATGATGATGAAATACCTGATCTGTTTTACTCCTGAGAAGGTACTAGAAGGGAATGACAGTTCGGATGCACTTTGGAATGGCACAATCACGTAAACACTTGCATACTTAAGACTTCTGAACTCACCCGAAGTTTCTAAACATAATCTAACAAACAATAAAAGATATCATAACAATGCAGCAAGTTAAAAAATAAATCAAAACAAAGTTTTTTTATAATCCAAGTATAAACAAACATAGGAAATGCATATTTGTCAGTAATTGTTTTTAAAGTAGGAAACACGTACTTAAAAAGTCATCTGACAAAACTTAAAAAAAACAAAAAACTACTATCCAATGCATAGTAATACATGCATTGTCCAAAATAGCAGAGAATAACCATTAGAATTGCAAGGCTTATAGCAACTCCACCAGAGAAAAATTACCATATATAGCAAGTCTGTTAAGTACGCAATGTATAAAAAGATTTTAATTACTAGACTGTTATTCACACTCCTGTAAAAAAGAATTTGTAATTTGCTGAGTATCTTATCCCTCAATATAATTAATCTGTATAAAAATTAACAACTAAGCCAATGATCTTCAAGCACCAATTCTGTATTTATATTTCTCCTAATATTGAGGGAACAAATTATGTTGAAGGCTGAGCTAAAATTAGCTTAGTCATTATTACAGTTTTGTTTTATAGGCATGCGGTTATTTTCCTTGAATGCCAAACATTTAAAAATGTTCAGGCCAGTAAAGGAATCCTTGGGGGACTCCATTATTTCTGAGTATCAATGGTTTAATATACATTTAAAAGCTCTCTAACAAACCACTGCTTTCTTAGTTCTAAGATAAAATAGATTTGCACACAACAAGTTGAGACTGTTCCTTATTTTGACTTAGAAAAGGCAGCACCTATATAGTAGACTAACAAGCACACCAGGACATCAACCGGTAGTGTAGGAAATGGCATTATTATTCAAGAAGGCAACGCCACTGCCTGTGGCAATACTGGAGTCTTTCTTAACTAAAAAAATTTCCTCTAGATATTTGGGGTAGGAGGGTAGCTCAATAAGAAAGCATTTTTTTTCCTTTTTGATTTCTTTTTCTGCATCAGGAAAGAAGTAGCACAGTCTGAGCCAGTAGATGAGTAACAGTGTTTGTGATGCCTCTGGTTGTTTCTGAAGAAAACATGTTCAGATAACAAGGGGTTTGTTTTAAATCAAATACAACTGCTGTTTTTGCTTCCAGTATTTACATCTTATCACTTACACAGTACTTTCTGAGACATAATTAATGTTTCAGTCTTTCCTACTATTGTTTGATTAATCCTCAACATACACCAAACCGAACCCTTAGGTTGGCTGCATTTGACTGACTGAAGAGAAGACTACTGAAGAAAACAGACCACGTGGAAGCCAAGATCTCGGCCAGCAGTGATTCTTCATCACTTCTCGGCCTGTCATCTGAACTCTGGCTCAGGGTCGGAGCATTCGAGCCCTGGTGTTATTTAGGACAGAGGTGGAGGGTCTTGCTGGTCCTCAGTAAGAGCGGCTTCATTCGGCTCCTCGCTCATCTCATTGGGTAGCTCTTCATCAACCGGCCCTCCGAGGTCTTCGCTGCCCCCTTCGCTGTGCTCCTCGCTGGGCTCCACAGTCTGTTCCAGGCTGTTCTCCAGAAGTGTGGGAGAACTGCTTACTCTGCCTTCTTCTTCGGCTGCCTCATTTAAGGGCTGGGAAGGAGGTGGTGTGGGAGTATCGGATTGCAGGACGCTTTCAATGGAAGAGATGGGGGCTTTGGTTAGAGTAGTATCTGCTACGATCTCGTTTTGAGGCAAAGACAACTTTTCCACAAGTTTCCACTGAATGATGCTCATGTCTTTTCCACCCGTTGAAATCAGGTGACTGTCATTATGCGTAAAACTGACATTGGTGACATGACTGCTGTGGGCACTGTACTTGTGACTGGGGGCCTATATGGAACAAATCAGACAGGAAAATTAATTATTTACATGCCTGCTCACAGGTAATTCAGGTCAAAGCCACACGTCATCAAATCTGAGGAATAAAACCAGCAGTAATTTCCTTTTAATACCAATTTATATAGGAGAAACAAAACATAACTAGACATCTATACTTCAGACTGTGTATTTTAAAAAAAGAAAAAGGCCGTGGCTGGGTAGCTCACTCGGTTAGAGCATCACCCTGATATGCCAAAGTTGCGGGTTCAATCCTTGCTCAGGGGACGTACAAGAATCAACCAGTGAATGCATACATTAAGTGGAACAACAAATTGATGTTTCTCTCTTTTTCTCCCCCTCATTCCCCTTTCTCTCGGAAAAAAAAGAAAAAGAAAAAAAAAGTCCATGTCTTCTGGATATCAGGTTGGTGTGCTTAGTAATGATTCTGTTGGGATGCCAGAGAGAATTTACTAAATTGGCAGGATTATAGGTGATTTAGGAAACAGTTCCATGAGTTTTATAATGCTGATCATATGTGTAAGAAGATATTTTAATGTGTTTAGGAGAAATTTAAAAATGCCAAAAAAACCCAATTGGACAGTAAGTAAAAATGAATAAAACATCACTAGCTGCCTTGTAGAATTATCTTCTCCTCCACCTTACTGAGAAAAGAGAAGACAAGCAATGTCTGCTTGGATGCTTAGAGATGGCCATTTCCCCCTGTGCATCACGGTTATCATGGACAATAATCAGTAACCTACAAATGTTTTCATGCCATCGACACAAAATTGTCCCTAAACGAAATGCCCCACAATGCTGATTTTATTGAACTGAGCTTACCTTTGCTTTGGAGCAGGGATACTGAAACAGATGGACTTTGCAAAAGTCATCAGCAACAGCTATCACCTTCCTATTGTGGGATCGCACCAGCGCATTGATATCTGTCCCATCAGATCCTTCTGGCCAGACGCCTTTGATATGGGAACACAGGGGTGCAGAAGAATTAGCCTTAAAAATGTAACTGCGATGCTACATAGGTTTACTGAATTTTAGAGTCTTACTAATTTTCATCTGTGTTCGGACTCTTAGTTGCTAACATTTCCCCTTACAAATATCTTAGTGGCCTCAGCACTTCATTCAAATGAAGTTTTAGCCAAAGTCTAATAATAAAGTTATAAATCAAAATAGCCTCAAGATGGAGTTTAATGACCAAAAGTACTCACTAGTAACCAGCAGGTGGTGCTAAAATTTTAGTTTTAAGCTTTATCACCAGAGCAATAAGTGCTTCCTTTTTTAAAGTTTCTAGTTAGAGGGGAAGTTCTCAGTTACCTGTATGGCAAGGTGAGGAGACAAAGCCATAGCACTGATTCTTCAAACTGGGGAAGCTGTGTAAAATTTACACTCTTTCACTGCTCCCTTTCAGGCAGGCACTTCAAAGAAAACCTAATAAAGAATCTAGTCTACCTGCTATCCCATAGAATTTTCTTATAACTATTTTTTATGTCCAAAGACAAGTCATAATAAATTTAATTATTCTGAATCATTATGAGGCACTGGTGATTATATTCAACATAGCACAAAATTCTATTAGACTAGATTACAACTCTGGAATATCTAAGCGCCGAGATGGTGGCCTCCTGTGGTTCAATGCTATTCTAGGGAACAAATGTTTTTGGTAAATTTGCTAAAACAAACTGAAACACTTCTGAAGTGGCATCTCTTAATAATGAGTAGTATACATTACATCATTAAAATAACTGGGTAAGTTACCAGCTACTGGTCACTGCTTCAGTTTCACCCAGCATCATGAAATTGTTTATGGACTAGTCAGGGCCATTTTGTTTGTAATTTCTTCCAAGCCTAGGAGGCCTCTCCATCTCTATAGCAGTTGTATTTAGAACGAGCACCTACAGTGGATTATTTTCCCAATGCACACAGCATAAAGAAATGTTCAGATCTATACTTGGACCGGAGGTGCGAGCCCAGCTCTTGGAGGGCAGAGATATATTGTTAAAGGAAAAGTACTGCTTTAGGTACTGGTGCCACATGCTCTTAGTCTATTTCGTGAGCATAACACCTCTTTTTAATTCTTTGCAAACAGGGTTTTATTATTTTAGCATTTACCCTCTAACTTTCAGAAAGATACCTCCAGATTAGGAAGGGCTTAGAAAACTGTCAGAGGGCACATTCACAGAAATGTACAAAACATCAGATTAAAAATGATCTCCTAATTTTATCTTTCAATAATGTCTACTAAAAATGTCTATTTCAGGAAATGGTGCTGGGACATCTGGGCAGTCACATGCAAAAGACTAACAATAACATCTGCTGACAAGAATGTGGAGAAATTGAACCCTCCTTCGCTGCCGGTGGGAATGTTGAAGGTGCTGCCACTTTGGGAAACAGCCTGGCAGTTCCTCAAAAGGTTAAACAGAGTTTACCCTTTGACCTTCTCAATTTCCACTTCTAGGTATATACCCAAGGGAAGTGAAAACATGCTTCACAAAAACTTACACATGCTTGTTCACAGCAGCATTATTTATAAAAGCTGAACAGTGGAAACAACCGAAGTGTCCATCAACTGATAAATGGAAAAACAAAACGGGTAAACCCATATAACGGGCTATCATTCAGCCATAAAATGAGGTGCTGACCCATGCTGCCACATGAATGATCCTTGAAAATATGCTAAATGAAAGAAGCCAGTCTCAATGGGTCACATATTAATTACATGATGCCGTTTATATGAGCTGTCCAGAGTAGACCAGCCATTAGAGGGAGAAAGGAGATTTTAGTGGTTGCCAGGCCGTGGAGGAGAACGACTGCTAATGGGGGGGGGGGGGTTCTTTTTGGGGTGATGAAAATGTTCTAAAATTAGTGCTGACAGAAGCACAGCTGTACTAAAACCACTGAACTGTGCACTGGAGGTCAATTATACAGTATGTGAATGGTAAGTCAATAAAGCTGTTTTTAAAATGTGTTTACAAATTTTACCGTTTCAGTTTTCACTTTGAGGGAAAAAAGTGGAAAGGCAATCTGTGCTATTACGTAAATTCCTTTTGTCTTTCATATTTACTGGGAGTCAAGAGACTAGAACAAACCTCATGTTGGGGTTGAATTTCTCTGAATCTGGCATTAACAGTGATAACACTAAGGAACACATACAGACTGTTTCATTAAGGAATTTAGGCAAGTAATTATGATATATAAAAGCCCACAAACACCACTGTCCCACCAGGTATCATGTCCTTACCAAAGACTTGAAAGCCTAGTACACAGGTGTATGTTGTCCAATCGATGTCCTTACACTCTGATCGATTCCTGATTAGTTTGCAGCCACTAGGAATGTCCCCTTTAAATTTAGAAACAGGGAGTATAATCATAGTGCTTGTGTATAAATGAATTTGAACGTGCATCTTGGTTCAAACTAGCCACGTTTACTTGTATTTATAATCCATACACTGAAAAACATTAAGACACATTTAAAAAGGAAAAGAAAGTGTTTACTTTAACAGGGTTTATGGAACTACCCACTGTAGTAGTTCTTTTTTCTTTAAGAGGCAAAAATGCCCATCCATTATACTTTTTCCTGCCTCCAGGAAAAGCTGTTAAAGACAAAACCATCAGAGCAGTATCAATCTCCAAGTTAATTTTCTTATGACTACATGTCTACACATTTAAAAATTAACTCCTTACTTTCTAAATTAACTCCTTATTTTCCTGGAGAAGTGAAGCACATTGGAGATGCTCATGCCTTAGCTCAGACTAACATATGCTCTGTCAGGTTAGAGAGGCCACCATGCATGCTCCGCACAACTCGGATCCCACGCGACCTCCTTGTTAGTGCCCCTGGAGACACACCTGAGCCGAACATGACTGTTCATACTTACAGTACAGTATTTCATAGTCTCCCGAGTTAGACATTATATACTTGTTGTCTGGGGACCAGTCAAGGTGTGTGATATAGCTGGAATGTCCCTAGGAAAGAGAGAGATCGACTATTGGAAAGCTTTTAGAGTTTTGTAAATAGTTTAATAGTTAGCCAATGCTGTTTTCTGAGTAGACATTCATCTTGAATTCCTAATGTATAAAGAGCAGTATCACAACCTGTAGAACTGCAGGGCTCCTAGCAGGTCTTCAGCTCTTTTCTCCTCTACCTAGTGGGGAGCCAAAGGTGCACGTATGCAAAGATGCCATTGATAACATGATGAGTTCGAGCAGAATTTAGGAGCTGAAGAGACCTCACCACAGTGGAAATGGCAAGCATTTGCAACTTTGAAAGGGAGTATCCTGCTGGCCTCTCCACTTAGAAACCAGCAACGCGCACCTACTCTCTGTTAGAGACTTCCAAGAGAGTCTCTTAAACCTGTGCCTTAAAGGACATTGCAACAGGCACCACACCCTCAGGCCATATTTCAAATCATCGGTGTCCCTGTTAGAATGACTTCATTTTTGAGAATGAGTATTTGTTCTGGGTTGTTCACAGAGTACAATTTTCCTGGGCTGCTTCTTGAGTGTCCAAGACACACCCCTGAGGCTGAAGAATATGGCACACACATGAGGTCTGTCCAGAAGGTATCCAGCCATGTAACAAGAAAAAACTAACATTTATTGAAGATACAAGAAACCCTGTACATAGGACAACGCCCCCTCAGTCCCCTTCAAAGTAGGCCCCTTGGGAGCTCACATAGTTCTCCCAATCGCCATTGGCTGCTCTGTTGTATTTTCCTGAATCTCATCAATGATCTGAAATCTTTTCCCTTTCAGAGGTGATTTTAGTTTTGGGAAAAGCCATAACTGCAGGGCACCAAATCTGGGTTGTAGGGAGCGTGAGTCATCTGGGTGATTTGATGTTTCACACAAAAAACAAAACAAAACAAAAACCTGCACAAGACATGACGCATGAGTGGGTGTGCTGTCTTGATGAAGCTGCTAATCACCAGCTGCCCACAGCTGTGGCCACAGCTGCGGAGGAACATTCAAGTTTAATGCAAAACTGGATGCAGGTTTGTTGCTCTACTCAGTCATTTTGAATGCCATGGCCACACAATACCCATGCTCACTCAATGGCATCTACTACTCCCACTGACTAGTACAGTGAAGTCGTCATTGCTCACGCATGTGCATTCTAGTCCAATCTCCTTGGCTGCCAGGTTACATCGACGTTGTGCAAACCATTCTCATTATATGAACAATGGCCGGACTTTGTCTAGACAGACCTTGTACAACTGTCATGGAGGTTTTCTAGGAAAACTATCTTCGAAGAATATTCTAGGAGAAGAGTCACCCAATATTGTACTCCAGGACAGCTGAATCCGATACAATCATCTGACTCCTTAACAAGGGTGTCCAATTGCGGCCCACAGGCCGCATGCAGCTCAGGATGGTTGTGAATGCCACTCAACACAAAATCATAAATTTACTTAAAACATGAGTTTTCTTGTGATCACATGTTGCAGTGTATTTAATGTGTGGCCCAAGACAACTCTTTTTCTTCGACCATGGCACAGAGATGCCAAAAGGCTGGACACCTCTGCCTTAAAACATTCCTTAAACAGGAGGACAGTTATCTTCTTCTGCTTAGATTTTACTAATACTATGGAAATTGAAAAACTAAAGCTGTATTTGGTTAGTGTTATAGTAAAGCACTATAAGGTTGTGCTTTACTATAAAAAGGTTGATTTCCAACCAACCATTTCAGATAAATCACAGGTCTTGTTGGTTTACCAAAGTTAATGGAGACTCAAAATCACTTTTTATCTCCTAGAGTCTGTGGTAAACATTTAATTTCTAATATACTTTTTGAATTACGAGCTTTCTGTGCATGTGATTTTCTTTTTTAGTAAATTCAAAATAGGTGTATTTTTTAATGATTTATACAAGTATTCTAATTATTCTTTTACCCTTCTGAAGTCTAATGACATGTCTTACCACCTCTGGACCTATGATCTCCCCCACAGAGCTGTGTAACAAATATATACATTTATGCATTTAAGTGAATTTAAGGACTGAAGCTTTCTGAAGTGACTGGAGATTAGGTGGTATACTGGAAAACAGGTTGGCAATCAACTTGTTAGGCACACAGACCTACCAACTTAACAAGAAATCAGTTTTCCAAGCTAGAAAGACACATGTGGTCACTGGATATTTTCTGAATTCAGCAGAAGGACGGGGTTCACACAAATCCTTTTCACAGTTCACATGAATTTTGATGCTTGGCTCTGGCATATGCGGAAGCCATGCTTCTAAGATAAAGAAAACTTCTGCTATGCCAGTGAAGGATTTAACCAGATTAGTCATGGCAAAGTACAGTCATCCAAAAAGTATTCATTCTAATGTAGAGTATATAAAATTATCTGAATCTCTGTGAAAGCCTTTAATAGCATTACTTAGAAGATCAAAAACACTGTATGTATACATAATATTCATGTAACTCACATCTGTTTTGGACATAACATATTTAGAAGGCAAATCAATGTAAAGTGTTCTCAAAAGACTCGAGCAGGAAAAGCAGCAAAGACCTTGGGGAACTCATCGACTCATACTGTAAAATGAAATATTTTTTCCTTGGTATGGATTCCAGTATCTAAGCAAAGAAAAACTTAAATGCAACTGCTGGACATCTATGATGCTACCTTTCCAAACACCCCCTCAGAGTGTCCTTGTCCCACCCAGCTCTGAGGCCGTGGAAGGTACACGCACAGCTTGGGGGAAAGTAGCCTCAGATGTTACCCCAAGTCCAGAGATACAGTGGGAGCAAAATCTAGGAGACCTCCTTAAAAAGAAACAGCTAAAGTATTCTACGCTGGTACCTTCATTACTGCCTTGAAGTAGCTGAATGGTGCGCCTACGAGTGTCACAAGTGATGAAGCCCAAACATACTACTATGGAAAAATCAAAAATATTTTAGCTGTATCTTTGTCAACTGCATGGAGGATCATATCTATGTCAGTGGTTGCAACTCTGGCTGTTTACTAAAAATAACGGGAATTTTTTAAAAAAAAGTACGAAGGCCCAGAGTTAGTTTCCTTAAGAGGTATCAAGAGGTCCCCTCACCATCTACAGCAGTGCTGTCCAATGAAGTTTCTGCAGTGATGAAAACGGTGTGTGTCTGTGCAGGCGTTGAAGGCAGGAGCAACCGGCTGTCTGTTGCTCGGAGCACTCAAAATGAGGGCTCCAGGAAACTGGACTGTGTTTCATTTCATAATTAAACATTGTGGTTAGTAGCTGTGATTCTAGAAGCTGTGATTCTAGATAATGCAGGTAGAGAACAGTTCCTTCTTTCTCTACTGGTTTCAAATACCTCTTCTATCACCTAGCAAATGTCCACATTAAGCAGAGCTCTGGATTCTTCTTTCTGTTCTGTTAGTCTTGCCTAATCCCAGCCAACTGTGAGAGTTTTGTGGTATGTGGAAAATTTCAGATAAACTTCAGGACCACTTTATCAAGCTCATAAATGTCATGTTGAAAATCTAAGAGCAAGTGCATCAAATTTTGAAAATGATTTGCAGAGAACAGATTCTTTTATCACCTTTTCATCGAGAAACACATCACGTCTCTTTATTTTAGTTCTAGCCTGCCTTCCAGCCACGTTTCACTTAGCTTCCTGTGCTTTTCCTTGCTATGTTTATTTGCAAAGACTCTACACTTTTCGTTGTTCTTGCGAATAGGACCTTTTCCCCACTGCAGTTTTGATGTGCTTTTTGCTAGTTGGAGAGAAAGCTGATCTTTAGCGCGTAGACCGCTACTGCCTATTTTAATCCCCATTGTGCCCTTTTGCTAAGCGCCCTGCTAAGACTCTTTTTCAAACTCTCTTGCAGCTAGGGCTGGCGGAAGTCCCTGAGAGGGGCTTCCAGGAAAACATGCAGAGAACTGACTTAGCAGGAGGAGTGCCCTGCCCCCTTCGCGCTGTTCCTTTCTTCCTGGGACTGGAACGTGATGACTGAGTCCTAGCAGCATCTTTATTGAGGGTGATGGAGTGGAAAGAAGGAAGGATATGATGACTCTCTTAAATGAGAGTATAGCCCTCTTTTAAATCACCAAACTGTTATAGTAACAATGAGTCCTACTGCTGTCTTGAAATACTGTTATCAGTTTTATGGATTCTGGGAGATTTCTAGATAAAGTCTTTTACCCTTTTCTTTTTGATACATATTTTCAATTACCAAAGTTTCACCGGCACTTCTTGGCTATCCTGATTTTGTAATGCTTTTGATTTTTAGTATATCATTGTAGCTTCGATACACTGTATCTCCTAGGCTTAGAAATTTGAGTACCAGTATTAAAAGGTACACAGGAATCTGACCGAGTCAAACAGAAAGCCATCATTATGTTGCACTGAGGTGCACGATAAAATAACCTTAATTCTAGAACCTTTAGGTCAGTCAGAACTGAACTCTTTCAAGGAAAATACACAATTGTCCATAATTAGAAAATAATCTTGAACTTTCACAGGCTTAGGTTAAATTCATGTTAACAACAGCCCTAGATACAACCCAGGGCTCCTCTAGTTACTGAGAATAATGCTAGTCCCACTCCTATTGACACCTAACATTTACTGGGTACTGTCTATGTAGAGGGCATTAAGTTTAAGTACTTTACATACACTCTGAACTCTAAATCTCACAGCAACCTTAACAGAGGATGCCCGCTTTAGCGGGTAAAGAAATTTAGGAGACAGAGAGAGATGAAGTTACTGCTGCAGTCACATGAAGAATTGGTGGAGCCAGAGTTCAAACCCAGGTCAGATGATTTTGCAGCAAATTAAACATAGCATTTAAATCATGCTTATCTTCTACTCATTTCTGTAACACTGAAGATGAGCAGAAAGCAATTTTAAACTAGAATTTAAGAAAAAGGAGTTTATAAGTAATCAAGGACCTTTTCAATACATTATCAAAACAGTGCGGGAAAGCAGGAGGTTAAGAAACACTGGAAAGCAACAAAACTAAAACTTTACAACACTAAAACTGCACACAACTCAGGAACCTTTGAGAAAACCAACCAGCAGTCCTTAAATTCTTTTTAGCTACAAAATCCTTCTGTCATATTAGATCTAACTTGAGAAGTCCAATATGTGAAGCAAATAAAAGGTCCATGCCAGTGCCACCCGCAGCCCCAACCCCAACTCCTAGAGCTTTTCAGAAGACAAAAAGAGCCTCTGAATTCAAAGCCTTAAAACATTTTCTGTAGCGGCAGTTACAAAATCAAACTGCTTACACAGTCAATATAGGATACAAACAGCAACCTGTGAATCCTGTAATTTAATCAAACCACTCTTAACAATATTTACTAAACACTAAGATGGAAGTTCTTATGGGAAGTAAAAGAAATAAAAAAGGTCCTTCTAAATCACATGATCTAATAAGAGGAACAGACGGCCCCAGATGAGGCCAAGGAGGCCTGGTGTGTGTGTGGAGGGAAAGCTGGGGAACCCAAAGGCGCCAAGGCGGTGTGCTCGCTGGGGCACGCGTGGACGTGCCGGAGCACAGACACGCCACAGGAGGGGAAGTGAAAGGCTGCCATGGGTGAGCGGCACACAGGGATGACTCCACCCATCCCCCTTCCCCTCCATTCCTCGGCTGGCCCCAAGAGGTCAGGCTCATGAAGAGCAACGTCCTTCCTGGAAGATCCTTCAAAGAGGTGGGCCAGGACCAGTCACGTAAACAAACCTGAGGTGTCTGTGAGGAGGTGTCACTTGCCAAGCAACCATGCAGCCTCAGCAGAAAACATGTTCATTCACTTCACCTAGATCTTTGAGGCAGGCACACGTGAGCACTAATCTGTAAGAAGCAAATACTGAGCTGTGCTCTACCATCTTATTCGGACTGCTTTCTTAGATGACGAGATTTAAGCTTTTCCGTGGAATTTGTGATTGTCATATTCTTATTTAAAGACTAGGTCTTTGTTAAAATGTGGCTACTGAAACTTCTCTCAGAGTTCCAAGTACAAATGCTGTTTTCTGTTTTGCGGCCCGTGTTGTCCTGGGACCATGGCAGCTGCAGAAGCGTACTGAGCACTCCACAAGACGTCCCTCTCATAAACTGCAACCGAACAGCTGGGGCACGTCCCCCTCACGGCACTGCTCTCCGTGGACACGTCGGCTGGGAAGATGAGCGGCCCGCGAGCACAGGGAGGCGGCGCTGGCGGAGGGCAGCCGGCCGGCCAGCGGTGCGCCTGGGGAGCACATGCAGCGCCCGGAGCATGTCTCCAGCCAGCAGGGCACCTGCCCTAAGGTGAGTCCCAGTATATCTACAGAATTGAACCTAATGTTCACTTTAAAGTGATAACCTAGTCGATGTGGAATGGGCAACAAATTAAAGAAAATGTCTGTTAATTCTCTTAACAAAGACAAGAATCTATAACAGGTTATTTTAGCGGTAGACAGGTGACACAGGAAACTGCAGGGTGTCGGGGTGCGCAGGAACATGGGACACGGATTAAAAGTGAGTCACCCTTTCATTTCTGACTCATTCCATTTTCAAAATGTGTTCTTCTAAGGGGCTCTGATGGAGAGAGCTTAGGAAACCACCCTAAAACCAGTCAGAGACAGACGAGTATTCAACTGCCTTCGGAGAAAGCGTCCTAGGGCACACAGGGAACAGCGGTGTTCCGCTGTCGGGGAACCGCAGTTTTCAGAGAGAGAGGAGAGTCTGAAAGCGGCTGAGGGACAGATACATCCATGTAAACATTTAATTCTCTTTTTAACAAAGTAAAAACTTCCAACAGTTCCACAACTCCATTTATTTTACTTCACTACTTACAGTGCACTTTCCGTATCTGCTGTACTTTCTTCCATTTTCTGAGACTACATAGAGGTAAATGAAGTTGTCATGAGATCCTACAGCCAGGAACGTGCCATCTAGAATGAAGCAGGAGAAAGTGTGAACTAGAGAAACACATTGACAGCTTTATGTATTGTTATTTCACCATCAATTCAGCTGTCGCTTGATGAATGAACCCTTCCATCACTAAGCACACTGGGAAAACAAACGGCCATCTAGTCCAGTGCACGGTCCCTTCCTGGAGACGGCGCCAAGGCTTTGGACTCCACACATTCCAGCCTCATCTCCTTCTTTGCTGGCTACCATCTGGCCTCAGGGAGGTTAACCTGCCCCTGTGATGGATCCAAATCAAAGTATTCATACTGCAAGCTGAGTGTACAACTGCTCATTTCAGCTGAGCACATCCAAATACAGGATCAGTTCTTTTGGAAAGGAACCATGTTCCCTTCCCTATGGTCTCCTCTACTGTACTTTGTAGCAGATGGTCAGTAAAGTCCGACTGTTCCTTGGATTTTAATCACTACATCTGCAGTAGTTACGTGTTACTGCAGTACTGAAAAAAGCCAATCCGAAACAGAAAACCTTTTCTGCTTCAACACTTGCCACTTGTAGACTGTGGCAAATACATTTCCTTCCTTTTTAAACTCAGAAAACAGTATTCAGTGCTTCCTTTAAAACAACTTAGAAGAAACCAAAAGGATCCTTTGGGTCTCACACTAATCCAGCAACTACTGGAATATATTTTTGAATACAAGTGAATGTCACTCTAACTCCAAGGGGAGAATAATATGAATTAAAACCATAATAAGGGGACAAGGAAACAGAATATTATAGAAACAATATTTTGAATGAAGTACAGAGAATTTATCAAATTCTTATGAGCTGCTGAGCATTTTACTTAACAAAACAATCATTACTATATAACCAGTAACAATGAAACTCGATTTTAAAGAACTTGCAGGACCTGTAAAATGTGTGTATTTTTAGTATTACTATAACCTCTTTTATATTCTCTTATACACAAAGAAAAGGTTGCTAAATAGATAAAACATTCGGCCTAGTACCTATTCAACATTCTATGTACAGTTTCAAAAACATGAGGCAGGGGGAGTTGATTGCATTGTTTTCTGCTTTCAATTGCACATACAGTTTTAACAGTTTGTTATAAATTTATGTTTGCTTGGTGATTTACAATGTTGTTTAACTTTAGTGGATCTTTTGCAGTTTCCTGAGGCAGAATTTAATCTGATGCTGGGGAAAACATATTCAATACTTAACAACTCTAGAGATTAGAGAAAGAAGTAGTCAACTTTATTGGAAGTGAAGATATGCAGTCACAGAAAATATGCAGCTACAGAGAAATGCAGTGACTGCCGGGGTGGCGAAAAGCTACCTACCCACTGAGTAGCGCATCACAGAGAGCTGTTCATTCCCGTCTGTGTGGATAGAAACCAGATCTCTGGTTTCTGCATCCAGAACAAACCACCTGTTGAGAAGTAAAAATCAAAAATTTTCAGATATTAGCACCTACAGGGAAAAAATGGTTGCTGGCCTTTTCTCTTTTTTTTAATTTTTAAAAATTAAATTTTATTACTGCCCTTAAGTATGATATGTTTCCTTCTTCTAATGAAGGATGAATTCATTTTGCAAAATGTTGCTAGATACAATATAAATATACCTATATGGGCCTAGGCATGTTCTTCATTTCTATTTAGGTATTCACTGAATGCCAACAGTGTTTCTTTGCCTAGGCACTGTTTAAATAGAATAAGATGATAGGATCAGTATTCTTGAAGATTATACTAGAGCTGGGAAAAAGGAAATGAGCCAATTAAAACAAAATAATTAACCCTGATGAGGTCGTGGTCAAAAAAAATTACAGCGTAGGTTGTGTGTATCCAAGAGATACATTACCAGGATGTGCTGAACTGTGGGAAAAAATAAAAATAAAAACATTGCAAATCTGCATTATGTTTATATAATACATGATTTTTATTTTCAGTTACAATCTAGAAATTATTAAACACAAGAACAAAAACAAAGATAAAAATTTTAATTTTCAAATACTGGAAACATAGTTATTGTCAGAAAAATACAACCAAAAAAATGTCTTTAACAATCAGTCAGAATCTTCAATACTTGGCTTTGCAAAACGTTTGTAACCGTCATCACAAACAACAATATTGCCATGCTCAAGGCATATATACTTTTCATAACACTTGCAAAAATATTTTGATAAGCGACTCATTTTGGATGCATAGTACCTAATATCTTTTCATTTTTCTGCTTGTCAAGGGAGCCATATCTATGGTTTAAACATTAGTCACATACAAATGCACAGTCATGACGTTGAACCTATGAACCTGATATATGTAATGATATTTAAGTTCCAATCTTAGTGATGATGACTACGTACAGGGTGGGGCAAAAGTAGGTTTACATTTGTTTGTATGGACAATACAATAATTAATATATAATATATAATAATACAAGAATATATTCTGTATTTTGCATATAACCGTAAACCTACTTTTGCCCCACCCTGTATAGTAGAGGAACTCTAATTAGGAATATGAATGGTAGCAGACATTGAAAAAGCTTTAGGGAGAATGGGATGTAGGATATGGGTTGAGCTGAACCCTGAGGGAAAGAAGTGCCGCAGTTCGGGCGGGAGGAGGGAAAGCTGGAGAGCTCTGGGGGTGGGAGGGAGCATGCAGCGTTAAGGTGGGAGAGGAAAGCAGAGGGCTGTTCCTTTGGAACCAGCAGGGGGCAATATGCCTCTCCAATACTCCCAATGCTTGCATGTGGAAATTAAATTCAGGACAGTTTTTCACTCACATTTACAGGCAAAGTCAAAATATAAAAAAGCCTCTTGAGAGAGAAACTGATGACTTAAATCCAACTACATAAAAAGTGACTCTTATCAGGCCTTTTCTGAGAACACCTGAAGGAATAAATGGTGTTTCAGAAGAGCCTGGTGAGATATGGGGTATAGAGAAAAGACTGGGAACTAAGGACGCACAACCTAGACCAGATAAGACAGAGGAGGGAGGTTACAGGCCGTATGCACAGCTGGTTGCAGGGGTGCAGATTTGAGAACTGCCTGGTTCAGAACAGCAGGCACTGAAAAATATTTGTAAGATGAATAAATCAAATAATATAAAATAAATCTTGAAACTGACAAAACCCAAGTTTTAGCAAGATTTACTTAGTAGTAGTGCAGTGTGCAGGAAGAATGGTTAGGGTGGAGAAAATGGGAGAAGACTAGAAAAATAAAATATCTTAATCTCATAGAACAGGATGGGACAAGAGCAGCACGCTTTGTTTTTAATTACTCAGATGGGAAAAATTCCACCGGTGTAATATAAACACTGCAGATCTGCATTTATTATGCCAGTAAGAGAAATCATACTAGAAAGCATGTTTAGTGATGTTACTTCATATGCTTTAGTGTATTCAAGGTAGGAGATGAAGACTGAAAGATCTCAACGGTTTACCTATCAATGCAATCCTCTGTAGACACATTTGTAAATGAATTTTAGTAACTTGTGAGCTATGAATTGAAACCTCTAGGTAGTTAACTGAATAAATAAATTCTGCCTTCTATCCAAGTAACAGAAATAGATTCTATTTGTGAGTACTTGAGTTTAAAAGCAGGAAACTGGCACTTTGAGGCCTATGCTATGTATTAACTGATCACTCCCATTTCAAAAGGTATATTAAGAAACACACTTTATTGCAACTGACAGTACTCATAGATTTGATAGGGGTTTCTTCCAAGAATGTATTTCATCAGTTGACTTTTATGGCTGCCACTGTGATGCTTCTCTAAGCCATGAACTGCCAAAGCTGCAGCCGAGAGAACTGTCCTTTCGGAGTAAGGGAACAAGATATTCCAACTCAGATTAAAGAGCTGCACCTAAGAACAACGAGACACGGAACCACCCTTATCACATCAACTGTGGCAAGGGTGGGGGTGGGAGGGATGGGGTGGGGTGGGGTGTGTGTGTGTGTGTGTGTGTGTGTGTTAAAAAGTACAAAAGGGCTGGAGTTTATATAATTGACAACAACTTGACCAGTCTGTCTGCAGTGATGAGGGAAGAATTTTAAAAATCTTTAATGGGCTTTAAAGGCCGGGTTAACAAGTTTGGATTCTATTTCTGAGGTATCAAGAAGACTTTAGAAGTGCTCCTCTCCTAAATTCAGTTTTCTGAATTTGCTCAGTTCATTCCTTTTGCTTAATATGAGCTCTTCACTGCCTCTTCAGGATCGAAGAACCCCATCAAGGCAGAGCCGATCCCACCTCCTGTGTGGAGTGCTCTGACAACTCAGGCTCCCAGGAATTTCTGGTGATCTCCGAGCATTGTTTATTCAGTCAAGTAATACTAAACTACTAATATAAGTTATTTATCCTTATTATCCTTTTATGTACATACATAATCTACTTGGGGTAGTGACCATGTCTCCTCTTATTTCTCTGTGCCTCTCACTGCACCTCACTTTACAAGTTGCAGGAGCTCAACAAGCATTTGAGGAATGACTCAGAACTGGAGTTGTAACAAGGCAGCACTCAGAGAAATTCATGCTGAAAGACACCACGCACCCTGGGAAATGAGCTCAGGAGTACCCGTGGGCCAAGTTAAGAAGCTCCAAATTAGAGACGGAAAAAGTATCCTTTCTAATTACAAGTCTTTTAATTATGTCAAAGAAGAAAGTCTCAACTAGCACTAATATAACTTTGACATCTCCCTTTTGAGCAGAAGGAGCATTTCTTATTCTAAGAAACTTTATAGTCAACAGTATCTGGCTAGGATTTGATAACGGTACTTTAGCTACATCACTGGCTTGCCAAGGTTCAGTTACCATCAAAATTGGTAAGTTCGGTTGGATTGTTTAAGTTTCTCCAGGTCTAGGGTCCTGTGATTCTGCATTGAAAACTAAGTTACATCCTTTATCTGCCCATGTGCCAGGCTCACTTTCCCAGCTTGCTTCCTTATCAAAGCTGTCTCTGTCACTGGAGACCAGAAACTTCAGGGCCTTCTTTGCAGTCAGTCACCTCTCTCAGTCTGCTCACCCCTCCCGGCCCTTTCCATCCACATATATATATAGAATGTTCTATATACTGCCTCAATTCTGTATATTTCTTTGTTTGAAACAATTCCCAACTTTAACGTTTGCTTTTTATTCTCCCCATCTTCAAGTCTATTGATTTCTCTAATTCTGGGTGCTTCACCTCCATTTACCAGCCTATAAAATAACTATCACAACAATCCCTTCCTTCAACATTATATGTCAGTTTGGAAATAAAACTAGATCCAGCCAAGACTGGAGTCAAGTTCTGTGCAAACAACTTGGAGAATCTGGTCTGTGTTGACAGAGACCTGACATCCTGATGGGACAGTACACAGATCTGTGGTTTCTCTGAGCTCTGCAGGTGGCATAAAGTTTAAGTGCCTTTTGAGAAACTGGTTTCAAAACACAGGAAAGGAAAAGATAATTAACGGGGGGTCTTAGAAAAATCAAGCAAAATGTATTTATACCAATAATTCAGAAATTATAAACTTTCAAGTGAGCAACAGTTTAGGTTAACACGTATTCTGAGCTTTATGAAGAATTTTAAATCCCCGTAAGAAACCCAAATTTAAAAACATGAGGGAATGTCATATTTGAAAATTTTGTGTAGTACACCTAGGTGTAATTTAATAATTAAATGACTTATAGTCATTGGTTCAATGAATCTAATATTTTGGTAACTAATGATTAATAATTACTGGTACATACTAATTTTTATTCATTTGTATACTTTAAGTCTTCATTTAAATTTAGGAGCTACCAGCCTTATTTAAAGTCCTTAGTGCCAGTATTATCCAAATATCAAAACCAGACAAAGACATCAAAAGAAAACTACAAATATCTCTTAAATAAATATAGATGCAAAAATCTTCACCAGGATACTAACAAACTGAATCAAGCAACATATAAAAAGACTTACAAATGATGACCAGGAATACAAGGATTTTCCTCAGGAATGCGAGGTTGATTTCACATCTGAAAGTCATTAATGTAATACTCCACAATACTCAAGGACAAAAACCATGCTATCTTAAGACCAGAAAAAGCACTTGACAAAATTGGACACCTTTTCATGACTAAAAATTCTCAACAAACTAAGAAAGGAAGGAGAATTCTTTAACATGATACAGGACATCTATGAAAAAGCTACAACTGATGTTATATTTAATGGTAAAAGGCTGAGTAACTTCCCTCTAACACAGAGCACAAAATATGTGGATGACTGCTCTTGCCACTTCTATTGATATTGTAACTGGAGGTCCTACATTACAAAAATTAGTCAAGAGAAAAAGCATTCAGATTGGAAAGGAAGAAAACTATCTTTATTTGCAGATTACAGGATTTTGTATGTAGAAAACCCTAAGGAATACACTAAAAACTATTAGAACTAAGAAATAAGTTCAGCCAAGTTGCAGGACCCAAGATCTACAATGAATATCCCAAAAATGTAACTGAAAAATAATTTCATTTTAAAGAGCATAAAGAGAAGTGAAATATTGTACTTAGGTATAAATTTAATAAATGTGCAAATCTGTACCTTATAAACAAAAAATATTTTTGAGAGAAACCAAAGATCTAAATAAATGGAAAAATACCTTCTGTTTATAAATTGAAAGACAATGTTAAGATAAGTTACATTCTCCCAAATTGATCTATAAAGGAAAAAAGTCACTATCAAAATGCTACCTTACTTCTTTGTAGAAAGTGACAAGCTAATCTTAAAATTCCTACAGAAATCCGAAAGAGCCTGAACTGCTACAACAACCTTGAAAATAACAAAGGTGGAGGACTCCCATGTCCTGGTTTCAAAACTTACTGCAAAGCCGCAATGATCAAGACTGTGGTTCCGGCACAAGGGTGAACATATAGAACGTGAGCAGAAATGACTGTCCAGATAGAAAACAATGCGTTTATGGTCGAATGATTTTTGACAAGGGTGTCAATGGTCATTCAATGGGGGAAAGAATAGTCCTTTCAACAAATGGTACTGTAACAACTGGATATCCACATACAAAAGTAAAGTTTTGGATACCTACTTCACACCATATACAACGATTAACTCAAGATGAATCAGAGGCTTGAAGGTAAGAGCAAAACCTACAAAATTTTTTAGAAGAAAACATAAAGTAAATCTTTATGACCAGAAGAGAAATAATAAATCGACTAATGAAAATTTAAAATTTCTGTGCCATCAAGAAAGTGAAAACACAACCCTTGGAATGAAAGAAAATATCTGAAAATCATATATCCGGATAAGGTATTGTGTCCAGAATGTAGAAAGAATTCTTACAACTCAGCAATAAAAAGATAAACCAATTAAAAGATGGGCACAGAATTTGAATAAACATTTCTTTAAAGAGGCGAATAAGCATGTGAAAAAGGTACTCCACACCATTAGCCATCAGAGAAATGCAAATCAACACCACAAGGGAAAAAGCACTTCACACCCACTAGGATGGGTATAATGACAAGTGCTGGTGAGGATGTGGAGAAATCAGAACTCTCCTACGTTGTTGGTGGAATTGTAGAATGGTTTAGCTGCTGTGGAAAATAATTCAGTAGGTCCTCAAAATGTGAAACAGAGTTTCACAAGATCCAACAACTCTAATCCTTGGTATATACTCAAGAAAGCTGAAAACACATGTCCACACAGAAACTTGTATATGAATGTTATTAGCACCATTATTCATTAAATCAAATGCCTATCAACTGATGGAACAGGTATATCTATACAATGGAATATTTTTGGCCACAAAAAGGAATGAAATACTTATACATGCTGTATAACATGGATGAACCCTGAAAACATTATGTTAAATATAAGAAGCTACAAAAGACATAGTCACAAAAAGACCATGTGTTATATGATTCTATTTATATGAAACGCCCAGAGCAGGCAAACCTATATATAGAGCCAGAAAAGCAGGTCAGTTGCCTAGGCAAGGAGGGTGTGGGTGGGGGCAATGATGGATGACCGCTAATGGGCACAGGGTCTCTTCTGGGCAGTGAAAATGCTCTGTAGTTAGCCTGAGATGATGGCTGCACACCCCTATGAACTTTCTAAAATTTCTTGAATTGTGTACTTTAAATGGATGAACTTTACAGTATATGAATTATATCTCAGTATAGCTGTTGAAAAAGAATCCTTACTATGGGAGGATTAGCATGTTGAAGAAGTACTACGTCCACTTAGGGCTATGCATTTCATTTTTTCCCCTTCAAAACTGTATTAGTAACACATTCATTTAAAATTGTATTTTTCTTTATCACTTTATTATTTTAATCACACACATGCATACTTCTTGATCATGAGAGAAAGGTTTCTAGCCACAGACATGAGACATCTTTAAACATTTTGCCAGTCACTTTTTCTGGATCATGCACAATTGGATGTGTGTTGCTTTATAGTTAAATTTTGTTTTCTTTGCCCTAAATGTGACTTTCTTTTTTAGGCTTCGGGTTAGTAATAATAATCTGAATGGCTACAGTACAGAATTTTCAGTTTTAGATAGAATAGCCAGGTATTCAAAGACCCAGTGTAAAAAATGAAAATAAATGAGAAAGTTCTCCAAGGATCAACAGAATCTAACCTTGTGAAATCAAACACAGGATCTATGTATAAAATTAACTTCAATAACTACATGTCCCCTAGATTCTAAATAACCCCCATCTCCACACTAGAAAGGACCAACCAGCCAGGACTTTTTATTTGGCTGTCGCCACTGCTCTCATTTGTAAGATGTCTTCTACTCCCAACTCCTGGTTTAACATTGGTTTGAGGCACCTAAAATAAGTGACTTCTTTTTAAGCTTGTTAATAATGACTTACAGCTACACAAATGTTAGAAAGTAATTTCAGTGAGTTTAAAGCAGGTCAGTTTTTCCTTAAAATTGGGGGCTCTGTAAGTATGTGTATATATTGTGCACGCGCGCGCACACATACGCACACACACACACCCCCCCCACGCCCCCACCCCACACCCCCATCCTATCAAGAGGCGTGTCTTTATTCAAATCCCTCTAGCTCTTATACACCATTCAATGTTTAACTCCTTTATATATATGGTAAGTGCTTTTAAAATGTCAGCTACGATATAACTTTCAAAGATAAACATTCCTTACAGTATTTCTAAGTAATGCTAAAAACACCATAAGCTTATCTCAAAGAGTAGTGGTGAAATGGTGGAAAGAGACAAGCTTTGGAACCATACAGAACCTGAGTTCAAATCCAAACTCAATCACAAGTGACTGAAACTCTATGGATCTTGGTTTCCTGTCTGTGCAAAGGAGAAATAAATAAATATTTTGTTGTGCTCTTGTGAAGATCTTAAGTAATACATAAAAATTAAGTACAAGGTCTGTCATCAGATACCTGATAAATGGGAACTCTTACTCTTATTATTTTATTGAGTTTAGCATTTGGGACATCTGTTCAGCTGCTCAAAAAACAGATCTGAAGTGAACTCCTTCACGGGTTTTCTGAAAACTAGTTCAGTGCAATAGCTCAGGTTGTTTCTCATGTGCTTGACTAATTTTTTGGGTACAATAGCAAATAATTTCCTACAAAGTGACCTGACATACATCTATTTAGTCCAAGTCTAAGTAATAATCTAGTACAGACATGTAATTGAAGAAATCTGAGATAGTAGAGCCATCTATACTTGCAAGTTACCACCAATCACTCCCCAAGCAGCCTAATTCTATAATTCAATTATTTCAGAACCACTGAAATTAGCATCTCTAGTTACGTAATACCCACATTTCAAAGTTTATCTTTAATAACCTATTTTTCTATGATTCTGAAAGACTTTCCAACACTGTTTCTAAGAAGCAATTTTAATGTTTTGACTTTCCAAAGGTGTTAATTTGTATCCAAAAGCCAAAAGGGAAAACTTGCTATTAAAAAAAAACTCTAAATGACTAAATTTAACTTGAATTAAATGATCTAGCTGATTTGAAATATTTATCATGTGAACAAAAATATTTATAAGTGTGTTCACAATAGTTTGACCTCATTCAGAATCTGCATTTCAAATTTTCTATGGGTTTAACTTTTGGAAATTAACTTCCTATTTTTCCTGCCTTTTTAAAAAAATTATTTGCAATGAGGGCTACTTACTAGCAGAGGCAATAAAAATGGCTCAAAATACAGATCATAAATATGTGTTACTTAACAACCTTGGAAAGGTTGCTGAGTACTAACATGTACTAATTCCTACCTTGGAAAAGTACTATATAAGGTCTGCAAAGTTAAGTAATTAATAAGAATTTCAGGAAATATACCTTCATTATCTATCTGTGTAGCATTCAAAAAGACTGGATGACAAAAGTTATAGCATAAACAACTTTACGATCAATCCTTCTCCACCACAGTTCTTAACATTTTCTAACCTAGTTTTATTTATTTTTTTATTCTGCCTCCATCCCTGACACACACTATAATGTGGGCTGCACAGGGGTAGAAATTTTTGTTTTGTATTCTCATGCAGCCTAAACACCCACAATAGTGTCTAACAAAGAGCTCAGTAGATAATTACTGATGACTGAGTGAGTAAATGTAACAGGTAAGAGCAACAAGCATATTAGTGTGCCATTTAAAAGATTAATTCCCCAGATCAGATTGACAACATTCCTGAACAATGGTTCAACATCCCACCACTTCAAATTACTCAACTCACATTTCCCTTAAAGACCCTACCTGCCTGAGTGCGTTCCTATGGCCACCACTGTGCCACTTGGATGAAAATCTGCACAGTGTCCTGGTTCCTAGAAGAGAGACAGACAGCTGTTGGGGAGTACATGAGAAAGTCTCCTTAGACCTATGTGAATAGTGGCAAAAACGTACTTGAAAATAACTTGTTTCCTATACACGTGGAATTCTAATGAACTCCCTTGTAGCCACATGGACACGAGAGGAAAAGAATTTGAGAGCAGGAAGGGATATGCTGGCAGAGTGGCGAAGGGAAAGGACAACCAGCTTGTGGCTAGGCAGTGAAATAATAAGGGTAACAACATTTGTACAGTTCTTTAGAGTCTGCAAAGAACATATGTATATCCTTTGGGCTAGAAAAGGTGGATACCGCAGTGGGTAGGGAGAAAATATAGGAGGAGGCTAACTCAAAAAGAAGACACAGTCTGTTAGTGAGCAGCACTTACTGAATCCAACTGCAACACCACCAGAGGCCCAAACATTTCTGTAACAATGCTCCATAAATATGTGAAATCTTGCTTTTACTACTGAAACTGATGGAAACATTGAGCTTTTGCACTAATTTGCTTCTTCAGAGTGGGTTCACATTGTACGTTGTGACTAAACACTCTCCCATTTACTGAACACTTCGTTTTGACCAATGGTGAGTCCTTTCTCCTTGCTGCTCCCAGCTGCTAGACTGGGGAGTGCCTGTGGGGAGGGTACAATCACATTCTGCTTTTACTCACATCCACAAGTCTGGTCCACTCCAGCCTATGTTCCGCTGAGTTCCACATGCACACTTGTCTATCCTGAGCACATGTCAAGAGCAAATCTTTGAAGGGATGTGTGGCAAGACCCCACAGCTCATCTGTATGACCCTGAAAATAAAATATACCTATTGTTATAAGAAACAAAGACTATCATAAAAAGTATTCAGTTAATGGTTAAAATCACAGTTTACCTGGACTTCTATTTGGAAGCCATCATTAAATGTTCCTCGTAAAATAAAATTTCGTGATGTGCCTACTAAAAATTGATCTGCTTTTCCTTCTGCTACAGCTCTGATTGTTCCATACTGATCAGGAACCTAAAAAAAAAAAAAAAAATTTTTTTTTTTTTTGCAATGTCACCATACACATACTAACATGCACTAATTACTATCTGAAGACTACATTTATAGCTGAAAGCTATTATGGGGTAATAAGCAACAGAATTCCAAATTTGAAAGTAACATGGTAATCTTATGCTAATAATAACTTGTTCAATTACAATTTATTACACAGAAGTTATAATGTATTAACATTCTTTGCTTCAGTTCATTTTAAATTTATATTTTATATGATTTTAAGAGTTAAGCGGTAGGAGGGGAGGAAAAGAAATTGGATTACATGAAGAATGAGGTCTAGTTCTGTTACTTACTAGTTATGTTATTTTGGGTGGGTCATTTAGCCTAAGACAAATTTCTTTATATGTAATATGGGAATTGTGAATACAGGTTCTACCTACTTGTGACTATTGTAAGGATCAAAATGTAAGTGCACTGCATGTGAAATTTCTCTGTAAACTAAAAAGCAGTATATTGTAAAGTGTTATAATTCATTAATAGAACTTCTTGGGAGATCAATCTTATTTAATCCACTACATGGTACACTCTCAGTGAATGTTATATTAATATAAGCCCAAAGGATGACTCTTTCTGAAATAATGCAATTCTTTCTTCTTTATGCAACGGGATCCAAAATTACTCCTAAAAGTACAAAGTACTGAATTCTAAGAGTAATCCAAAGTTATGGTAGAAATGGTAAAGGGATGATGAACCAGATGGTACAGCTTTAGATTACAGAGGGTATGAATTATCTGTGAAGAAACAGCATGAACTTAAGGCTGACACAGAGCAATTCTTATCTTTTTAGAAATAAAACTCAACAGCAATACTATCAGGATCCCCCCCCCCTTTTTTTTTTTTAAAGATTTTGTCTGAAAACATGTTATGTGTAGAAAACACTAAGCGTAAGTTCAAAATTTAAGTCACCGAAAGAGAGAGGCAATATTAAACTCTTGAGATTTGCTCTTGCTTTGAGCATTATTGATCTAGAATACAATTCTTAACTGTTTCACTTCCTGAAGCCTCAATTCAACTGGCAAACTTTCACTGACCATGCAATACCTGTCAGGTTTTACAGATACACTTGGGTCTATGCCATGAAGCAGAGACATAAAAAAAAAAAATTAGTTATTATCATTAAGCCCACTGTTGGTTACTTTCAAGTTTTAAAATTAAACTGTTCATTTTGTATACCCTGCTTATTATTTTTGGATCAGCAAAAAAATAGTGTCAGGCCCTGGCTAGGTAGGTCAGTTGGTTAAGAGTGTTGTCCTGATACGCCAAGGCTGCAGGCTTGATCTGTGGTCAGGGCACAAAGCAGAGGCAACCAATAAATGCATAAACAAGTGGAACAAATCAACTTTTTTCCTCTCTTAAAAAAACAAACAAACTCAGAAATAAACTAGTTATTCTGCTCACTCTTTTTTTTTTATTCTTTCAAATTATTTTGTTTAATGATCAGTCTCTTTTTTTTCTTTTCTTTTTGAGGGAATAAGAGGCCAAGGATGTGCACTAATTTCCCAGAAAAGTATAAGTTGTCTTCATGTAAGACAGAAAACATTAGAGGATTTAGTATTTTACAGGTTTTATTTTCCCACCCTTACCTCAATTTCTCTTTCAGCATTCAGATCATGATCCCACAGAATTATTTTTCTGTCTTTTCCTCCTCCAGTTAGTAACATCCCATTTCTCATCTGACAAAGTGTGAACACACTGCCGTCATGAGCTTTGATTTGTTTGCTGATCTGATAAACACCTGATGAGGAAAAAAAATAAAAACACGAGTGATAACACTGCCCATCAAATTTAGTGGCTTTCTGGAGGGAAACATGAGCAGAACTACAGGTGCTCCTTGACTTAAATGGGGTTACATCCCGATAAACCCACTGTAAGTTGAAAATGCATTTAATATGCCTAACCTACCACACCATCATAGCTTAGCCTAGCCAGTCTCTACTGAAAGGCATGTTGTTTTTACACCACTGTAAAACTGAAAAAACTAAGTCAAATCATAGTAAGCTGGGGACCATTTGTATAGAGCAAATAATCAGAACTGTCTGACTCAACAATCAAAAACCTATTTTCAGCAAGTTGTACAAGGCTAGTAGTGAAGCTTAATGCAATCTTTTGCATTTTTATCAGTAGTTACTCTAAAAATATTTCAAAATACATTCTTACAAAAGGGTAAATTAAAGTAGTAGTAATTACATAGACAACAGAAGATACTCAAAACGTTATAATCCCTTATAATCATCTTACATAGTAGTTAGGGCAGTCTTAGAATTCTGTTTTTAGAGCTGAGGACACAGGGTTATAGGTATAAAAGTGTCTTAACCTACTACACAGTTTGCTAGTGACAAAGCTGTGAACAGGGCTCAAGTCTCTTCTTCACTCAATGTTCCCTTAAGTTTGCAAAAGAGCTTTCATTTCCCACTGAGGTAACAGTAGTAATATTTAATAATTAACAACCACTGGTGACCTACCTGCTCTGCCAAGGACTACCCCCTTTATTTGCTATGATACAGGGGACTGGGAATGGCACTGGAGGCTTGGAGCAGTGGTTTTTAACCCTTGTATTTTAAAAAACTGTATGAATGTGATAGTTGAACAACAGGCCAGCTTTCTTATATACTTAGAGTGCTTTACAAGTACCCAGGGGGGACAAGGCAGGTACATTAAAAATATTTTAAGTCCATGTGGAGATTCAAACACACACACAGAAAAAATATAATCAGATCCACTTTCTTAAAGGTGAAGAGAAGATTTTAGTACATAAACCCTTTTCTTTGTTATTTATCATGTCTTACTCAAAGAACCTTTATCTGGCTAGTGAGACTGGTAGAGCAAGAGTAAAGCTTTCTGGACATTAATTATCTTGCAGAATTAGTTACTAGGTTCAAAATGGGAAGGTAGAGCCTTGCTTAAATATGGCCAAAGTCAGTCAATAAATAAATCTTAGATCTTTTAGAAAAATAAAATAACAAGTCTAAAATTTGTTCAGTGGGGGAAATGGGTGAGGGTGGTCAGGTACATACTTCCCGTGATAAGTTCTGGGAGTCTAATGACCTTAGTTAAACAAATACTGCATTGTGTATCTGAAAGTTGCTGAGATAGATCTTAAAAGTTCTCATCACAGGAGGAAAAATTTCACCTCTGTGAGGTGATGGATATTAACTAAACTTGTGGTTAAATAATTGTTGTATACCTTAAAACTTATACAATGTTACATGTCAACTCTATCTCAATAAAGCTGAGGAAATGTTCATTTTCTGAAATGGCTCATCAACTGATGAAAGGATAAACAAAATGTGGCATGTCCACACCATGGAACATTATTCAGCCATAAAAAGAAATGAAGTATGATACATGCTATTAACATAGATGAACCTTGAAAACATTAAGGTTCAAATGAAAGAAGCCAGTCACAAAAGACCATACATTGTATGATTCCATTGGTATGAAATGTCCCAAATAGGCACATTCACAGAGAGCGAAAGTGGACAAATGGCTGTTAGGGGTTGAGGGGAGGGAGGAGTGCGAAGTGATTGCTACGGGGCACAGTGTTTCTTCTTGGGGTGATAAAATATTCTACAGCTAAATAGTGGCGACAGCTGCACAACTCTGTGAATATAGAAAAAAACCACTGAATTGTATATTTTAAAAGGGGGAATTTTTATATATCTCAAACTTGTTATTGAGATTGTTCACTTTGGCTCATCTTTTTATAATATTTGAGCTGACATTATATTTTAAAAATTAAAATTTGTAGGGCTTTGATATCCTAAAAAAAAAAAGCAGCAGCAGCAGCAGCAGCAGCAGCTATAGCTGACTAAAAATGACTCGGTGTGAGGGTGCCAGAGGTACAGATACGTAATGGATGGCTATGTCTGGTAGGGAGGAACGAAAAAGTTTGGCTGATTTTGAGTAAAGCTCGCCCAATTTAGCAGAACTCCAACAAACTCACTACTGAGATTGACTGCTTCAGCTTGTCCCAATATTCATCACTTAGAAATACTTTAAATGCCAAACAATATAATTGTGTCTAATACGACAGCCAGTTATCTATAATGTGTGACCAAGAGAGAAAGAACATCTGAGACGTGAATTTTCGGAGTACTGTTGGCTTTATTTGAGCATTTAAAGGAGGAGGGGGTATTATTTTCTCATGCATGGTTAGATTAACAAGGGCAGTCTTTCAAAGTACCATGTAAGAAATTACAAAAAACAGAGGTATGGAGGTTCACAGATCTCCATCAGAAGGGAGGAAAATGAAGTACAGTTTTTCCACTTTTAATTCAGTTTTCTGTGCTTTTAAACATGACAAAAAGCTTGTTAAACACTTCAGGTCTTCCCAGAACGATGGAATGTTAGCAAACAGAGTGTATGACTGAAGAACAAATGCTTCATGGAGCCTGTATTTCTGATATTTCAATTCAAGCCAAATAATGTTTGAGAAAGTGGCCAAGAAAAATAATTATGCTTAAATTTAAAAACCTATTATACCTCCAGGCATAATCATGGCCACATCTATCCAAGCTTAATTGCAAATTCCCCCTTTTCTCTCATCTCTAACAGAACAAAGCTTCCATAAAAAGCAAGTTTGCCTTGACTGCCAAATAAAGATGCTTGGAGGGCTTTCTGTGTCTGTTTAACTATAGAATCAAATGCCAGAGAGACTTTGAAATTTATGTTATATTCTTAGCAAGTGAGCAAATGGGCCCATGCTGATTATTTGGAGAGCAGGTAAAATGGTGGTGTGTTACTTAGTTCCTAAAAGGAACTTAGGTGTAAGAGTAATGAACACTTTTATGGTGTAGTAGACACAATCAACTTCCCCTCCCCCACTTAAAAATTATGTATTATTTAATATAAGAAAAATTGAACTATTTCACATATGTAGGAAATACCTAGTATTCCATAAGATATAAAAAAAAAATACTAATGCACACGGGCAGAGAAATGAATAGACAATGTAGTGTGTGTGTATACACATAGATAAACACACACACAACGGCATATAAAAGAAGGAAATTCTGCTCTTTCCATCAGCATAAGTAGTCCTTGAGGACATGATGTTCAGTGAAATAAAGACAGAGAAACACAAATACTATATGATCTCACTTACATGTGGAATCTAAGAAAACGAACTCATAGGAACAGAACAGACTGGCAGTTGCGAGAGGCCAGGGTAGGGGAAAGGGGTTAAAAGGTATGAACTTTCAGTTATGAGTAAGTTCTGAGATATAATGAACAGTGTGGTGACTAAAGTTAATAATACTGTACCATATATTTGAAAGTTCCTAAGAAAATAGATCTTAAAAGTTCTCATTACACACAAAAAAATTAACTACGTGAGGTGATGGATGTTAACTTATGTCATTTTGCAATATATTATCAAACCTTTATGTCGTACACCTTAAATATACAATATTATATGTAAATTATAGATCAATAAAACCGAGGAAAAAGGAATACACTAATTACTTTGAAGATTCCTGTTAATTCATATTTAAGGTATAGAAGCAAGAAAATATACAGGAGGGCTTATGAGGCACAGAACATAGTTCTGGCTTGTCTCTTATACTGGAGTAAAAGGATTAACTATGAAATTACTTATGCCATCCAAAAATGTCCCTTACTGAACATGATACCACAGTCTGCTCAAATTTTAGTTGGTAAGACCACAATGGGTGCAGAAATGTCCTATTAGGGAATATACAAACTGGATCAATTTATTGAATTATTGGCAAGACTTTTAAAATGGAAACTTTGAACTCTGTTGTGATCTGGGTTTACACATTTATTTCACTGTATGTACCAAATCCTTCCCAGCCATACCTACAGAACTGAAAACCCCAAATATATAAAGGGAGAAGCAACATTCTTATCAAATTTGCCTATAATACGGTCATTTTTGCAGCAAAGCACAACACAGTCTATTTCATGTCCCCAAGAGTTTACAAGATTAGATTTCCCATTTCCTGTGTTTGCATATGCAGATTTTTTTTCTAAAAAGACTTATTTATTTTTAGAAAGTGGGTAAGGGAGGAAGAGAGGGAGAGAAACAGCAATGTTTGGTTGCCTCTCACATGCCCCGCACTGGGGACCTGGCCTGCAACCCAGGCATGGGCCCTGACTGGGAATTGAACCAGCGACCCTTTGGTTCGCAGGCCAGTGCTCAATCCACTGAGCCACACCAGCTAGGGCACATAGAGATTTTTATTGCATGAATTTTTCAGACAAAAATCAAAAGAAAAACAATCTCTGAACCTATCCCTATCTCTCTCACCTTGACACATATTAAGTTAATAAAGGATACATTTATACCCAAACTCTGCTCTTTATCAGAGGATAACATGTCAAGAATTTAAGTCACAGTTTTGAAATACAATGTTATTGTGGGCATTTCAGATTTTGAAAAGTCAGAAAGATAGTTGGTAAATACTATTGTTCTAACCTTCCTCTCTAGTGAGATTCTTCAACCCACTGCCATCTTTGTCATATGTGAATTTTGAACCTAAACTCAATGAGACTATGAATGCATGGCTAATGCTTGAGGTCAGGGTCACTGGTAATAAAATTTACAGATTTTACAAAAACTTCTAAATATATTAATTCGACTGCAAAACTTAGAAATTCGGGTGAATGGATATAGAAAACACTTATGTAGGATATCTCCTAAAAAATAAACTATAAAAATCTTCAAAATCACCCTGGCTGATGTGGCTCAGTGGACTGAGTGCCAGCCTGTGAACCAGAGGGTCGCTGGTTCCATTACTGGTCAGGGCACATGCCTGGGTTTGTGGGCCAGGTCCCCAGTAGGGGGTGCGTGAGAGGCAACCACACACTGGTGTTACTCTCCCCTTCTTTTCTCCCTCCCGCCCCCTCTCTAAAAATAAATAAATAAAAATCTTTAAAAAAAGATTGAAAAAAAAAAAAACCCCAAACCCTTCCCTCTCATAAGATATCTATAATGCTATGTTCAAATTTCACAATTGAGTGAAAATAGTGCTTTAATCAGTACCACTCATCTTCTACACTGACTCCTAAAGGTAAGATTAAAGTCATTTCCTTAAGAAAATGTTTAACAAATAACTTTCAACAGTGAATAATGTATGCCAGACATTGTGTTAGTCCTGGGAATATCCGTCAGGAAAGTCAAACATGTATATTGGGTCTTTCTTTCTCAGCAGGGGACTAAGGATTCCCTTATTTGTAAATCACCCGTGATTTCCATGGTCTGATGTAAAGACTCCAGAGACAAAGCCAAGGATTACCCTATTTATTTGCTGAGACATAAGGAACAGTAGAGGGCACTGGGACAAAAGTAAGTACTTGGAGCAGTGGCTTCAACCAACTAGAGAAGTATTTTTTCTAAGTATATTTTATTGATTATGCTATTATAGTTGTCTCGATTTTCCCCCTTTGCTCCCCTCCACCCAGCACTCCCCTCTCCTCCTCAGGCAATCCTGATGCCACTACTCATGTCCATGGGCCATGAGCATTAAGTTCTCTGGCCACTCCATTTCCTGTACTGGACTTTACATCCCCATGACTATTCTGTGACCACCAGTTTGTACTTCTTAATCCCTCACCTCTTCACTCATCCCCCCAGCCCCACCCTTCCATCTAGCAACCATCAAAATGCTCTCTAAATCCATGACTCTGTCTCTTTCTTGTTTGCTTAGTTTTTTAGATTCAAATACGTAACTAAACTGCCTTTTTATTGTTCATAGTTTTGATCTTCTTTTTCTTAAATAAGTCTCCTCTAACATTTCATAAAATGATGGTTTGCTGATGATGAACTCCTTTAGTTTTTTCTTGTCTGGGAAGCTCTCTATCTGCTCTTCAATTCCAAATGATAGCTCTGCTGGGTAGAGCAATCTTGGCTGTAGGTCTCTGCTTTTCATGACGTTGGAATCCCTTCTACCCTGCAAAGTTTCTTTTGAGGAATAAGCTGACAGCCTTATGGAAACTCCCCTGTAGTTAACTGCTTTTCTCTTGTGGCTTTTAAGATTCTCTCTTTATCTTTAACCTTTGGGATTCTATAGTTATGATGTGTTTTGGAATGGGCCTCTTGGCATCCATCTTGTCTGGGACTTTGTGCTTCCTGGACTTGCATGACTATTTCCTTCACCAAATTAGGGAAGTTTTTTAAATTTTTTCAAGTAGATTTCTAATTTCTTGCTCTTTCTCTTTCCTTTCTGGCACCCCTACCTATAATGCCAATGTTGGCATGCTTGAAGTTATCCCAGAGGCTGCTTACACTATCCTCATTTTTTTTGGATTCTTTTTTCTTCTTCTTGCTCTGATTGGTTGGTTTTTGCTTCCTTATGTTCCAAATCATTGATCTGATTCTCAGCTTTACCCACTCTCCTGTTATTTCCCTGTATATTATTCTGTATAGCCTTCATTTCTGATTGGATCTTCTCTATGCTGTTGAGGTCCTCACTAAGTTCTTTGAGCATCCACATAACCAGTGTTTTGAACACTGCATCTGATAAACTGCTTATCTCCATTTTGTTTAGTTCTTTTCCTGGAGTTTTGATCTGTTCTTTCATTTGAGCCATGTTTCTTTGTCTCTTCATTTTTGGCAGCCTGTGCGTTTTCGAGCATTAGGTAGAGCTGCTATGACTCCCTATCTTAGTAGCACGGCCTAACATGGAAGGTATCCTGCAGGGTACAGTGGCATAGCCTCCCCTATCACCCAGGCTGGGTATTCAAGGTGCACCTTTTGTGTGGGCAGAGTACACCCTCCTCTTGTAGTTGAGCCTTGATTGCTGTTGGCAGGTCAATGGGAGGGATTTACCCAAGCCAGTCCGCTTCAAGGACTGGCTGTGACCACCGACCACCAACCTCTACCCTCTCCAGACAATCAGCTATGCAGGGGCAGGGTGGTGGTGCTCTGATGTGGTCTGTAAGTGTCCACTGGGTGTGCAGGCTCTGGGGTTTCCTGGGTGTTGCAGGCTAAGGTCAGCCCCCACACCTGTGTTCTGCCTGGGGCCACCGTGCATGAACTATAAAGCAATCTGAAATGGCTGCTACTTGTGCTGGGCTTGGAGATTCCCAGACGAAGCCAAGTTATGAATCTAGGCTGCTGCTGCTAGTGCTGGGCCTGGGATCAATTAGCAAAATATAATGGGATGGTGGGGGCTCAGTGAGGCTGGCTGTTGCTTGTTTGATAGGGTTTAGAAAGTTGTGAAGCATGAGCTGAGATAAGCCATTTGTATGGAAAAGTTGTGGTTAACAATTTGGGTGGGCCTGTAAATTATGTGGGACTATCTTATTATTATCATTTTTAAAATATCTAACTTCTATAATCCTTGCAGGTTTCTTTCTGGTCATCTAACTGTGGGATAGAGGATCCTTGATCCTTTACTCTTTACAGATCCTTTACAGAGCTCTTTACTCTTTCATGGTGACCTCAACCAGTCTTAAAGATTCGTGTGGATAACTGAGAAAATCTGTATCTTTAATCCCTACATGAATTTTCAATGGCTTAATATATACTAAACTCTTGAGAAGAATGATAAAACACAACTATTTTGAAAATCATATTTCATTCAAGTTGGCTATCTCTTTTTGCTGTTACTGCTTTTACATGACAGGTTTATTCACAATACCCTGAATACCTCACGTTCTAATCCATCTTTCTACTTTTGCTTACACTGTTTCCCTAAGCTGGGACCAAAGTTCCATTATCTTTGTAATCTTGTACATTCATTATGGATTAATCTTAAGTACCATTTCCTCTGTGAAGGCATCACAAAACTCAGAAAATCAGGGTGATTTGTCTGTTAATCTTTATACTGTTTAAATTAACATATATCTATATCATCTCTTTCTACTTATTTTGTATTAGGTTATATATGCTGAACTGAGTAAATATTTTAATTTTAAGAAAGATCATCATGAAGAAGCTTAAAAACATGAGGTATGTAACTGGTTCTCATGTTGTTTCGCTGAAGCTCTCTGGGTACAAGATGGGCCTGCAATAACAGTATGCGCCGATTAAAAAGGAATGACGTTAATATCAGAGTACTGTACCTTTAGGTCCTTTTCCAGGTGTGGGTTCTACAGTAGTTTTGCTCCATATAAGTAATACTCCACCAGAGTCTCCAGTCAGAACATCTCCATTCCCCAAAAATGCTAAACACTGCACAAATTTTGGTTTTTCATATTTCTACAAAGAAACAATGAGAATTTTCAGTTTTCCCCATGGCATGATAACTTCATGCTTATTCTCAACAATTAAAAAATTAAAGTTTTATAATGAATTTATGGCATCCTGATCCTTACCCCAAAAATTCCCTGTTTTCTTGTTAGTGAATTGCCACTCCAGGTCCAGAAAAAAATATGAGATTTACCACATGTTATTATGGTATTTGCATCTGTTGGATGGAACTCCACAGCCAAAACAACTTCATTTGTTGTCTGTGGAAAGAGAAATGAAGCCTTAGATGAATGTATATTCTTTTCTCCATCAAGTACCAATAATCAAAGATAGGAATACATTCTTAGGAAATGCCTTTTCTTCCAAGATCTATTTTCCTGAACATCTTTAACAATAAACTTTTATAATGATTTAAATGTGATATATTTATACTATTATACCATCTCTTATACTATTTATATAATAACTGTATTAAGACATTTATATGAATTAGTTTTAGGTTATTTCAGTTTCTGGCACATTTAGAGAAAAGTACACTAAAACTATCAAATGCAAGAGCAATATATATTTGTCTTAAAGACAGCAACAATTTGAGTTTTAAAAAAAGTCTTATCTTTCTTTGTACTATTATTATTGACTACTCATCATTCATTTAAGAAAATATTCCTGATACAGAAATTCATCCTTAGGCTTAAAACTATATAGAATGGTCACTACTGATTCATATAGAAATAAAAAATAAAAAACGAAAAGCTTTTATACCATTTCCTAAAATAAATAAATGAATAGATAGATAGACAAATAAATAAATAAATAAATAAATAAAACTAGAGTAAAAAAGGAAGAAAACAGGCATGGGAGTCTAAAGGAATGACAAGTAGTTTTTTTTTTCCACTGAAATTGCTGAATTGAGGATGATGAAAAACACTATTTTCCTATGTTCAGTACACCATATTAAATTCTTACTAAATTTGTTTTATGGTAAAAGCACCTATTCAAACTTAACAGTAAGGTGAAATCTATGTATTTGTATAGCTGTTTACTGGTGGATGGTGTTCGCCTGCAGGGCGATCCTTAATGTCCTTTTTTCGTTTAACTTAGCGAAGAACTTCATGTGTAATGAAGCATTTCTTCATTTGCAAACTAACATGGTAAACATGCTAATCTTATAAACAAAGTGAGTTAAATATAATACCTTTCATCTTCCTAGACTAATAAAATGACACTTGAAAGAATTGAGCTAATTAAAAAGTTTTCACCATGGCTCCAGTATTTCCGTAAATTTTACATTTCTACTACTAACAATTGAGCTCTACTGCCTTGTAGACACATAAATAAGACCATAACAATTTAATCTGAATGTTTCTTCGCCTTATCAGGTTATAGACAGTGCTTTTTCTTGTTATATAGTTTTCCACAATGTTTGGTATGGAACTATATATATGTTAATTAACAAAGCAAAAATTAATCATCTCTCTTCCAGGATGATGTTGCCTTTTAAAACTGGATTGAACAGTCCTTAGTTTTCACTTAAATAAAATGAAAACTATGTGGCAGTTCAATCTTATGCCAAACTGATTAATCAAGGATTATAAAATTAACTATAAATATTCCCAGTATACAAACATATAATGCTAGTGAAAAAGATATTCAAGACACAAACTGAAGTGATCTATGAAATTAAGTCACTTTGGGTATGAGTGTAGCCTTATAGAATATTTTAACTTTTTATTGGTGTATATTATCTAGGAAAACTCGCAAATCCTAAGTATGTAGCTTGATAAATTTTCACAAATTGACACATCTCTGCATAGCATCTGGAACGAAAGAGAACATTACTAACATCTCAGAAACACCTCAGATCCCTTTTCTAGTCATTATTCCCTCCCCCCTGCTCAAGCAACCATGATCCTCATTTGTAAGCCCACAGATTAGCTTTGTATGTTTTATGTAAAAAGAACCCACAAAAATCATGCTAGGATTTTGACTATGTTGAACAATATCAATCAATATGCAGAAAAGTAACATCTTGACAATATTGTCTTCTGTTTTTATTGCATATTTCTCCATTTATTTGGGTCGTCTTTTAACTTCTGCCAATAAGGTTTTGAAGCTGCCTTACTGAATTTTAAACTCACATAAATTAACATGTATCAACTCTCCAATCCTTGTGACTTAAGCAAGGATAGAGCTCATCTACAGAATAGAATAAGGTCGCTACACAGTGAGAAGCTAAGAGGAGAGACAGGGAATCAGTGACCCACCCCCTGAATCAAGTCATTCCTAAGGCAAAATCCTCCTATGACCTTTACTAGAGGGGTTTTTTTCCTTCCTTAAAACACTAACCAATAAATTATCTTTAGGACAGCTTTACTTCTTTTGCAGTCACTTCCACTGGAAAGAGTTCTAATACAGACATTTGAAATAGTGTTTAGAGAACTTGCTACACGGTTGGGTATGAGAAGTAAGGGGGACAAGGAGTCATCTCCATCTTGGGCAACCAAGTGCAATGTGGTGTTAATCACTGAGAGGTGAAATTGCTTGGGATCTAAGAAAGATGATTAGTCTATGGCCATACCACCTTGAACATGCCCAATTTCATCTGATCTCAGAAGCTAAGCAAGGTCAGGCCTGGCTAGTACTTGTATGGGAGAAAGATGATTAGCACACATTTGGCTATGTTGATTTTGACTTTGGAATAAGACATTCAAATAAAGAAGCCTGGCAAGCAAGAAGAAACGTAGGTTTAAATCTGTGAGAGACATCTGAGCTGCAAGTAAATGATGTGGGACACAGCAGATAGTAACTAAGGCCATGGCAGCAGTACATGATGTCTGTGGAGGACGTAAGATATTAACTCTGAGTAACGCCAACATTGACGGTCCCGGAGAGGAGATCAAGGAATGGCCAGTAGGAGGAAAACCACAAGGCTTCACCTGGTAACCTTTACTACAAAGGATCAGAATCACATACTGCACTTTGATGTAACTTCCCTATGTTTCACTGATAAATTATTCTGAATGATGGCTGAAACACTATCGGTATCTTCATTTATATTTTTAATTTATTTTTATTTTTTCATTTTTATTGAATTTATTGGGATGACATTGATTAACAAAAATTACATAGGTTTCAGGTGCACATTTCCGCCACACATCATCTGTCCACTGTACTGTGTGCTCACCACCCCAAAGCGGGTCTCCGTCCATCACCATTTATCCCCCTAACCTTCCGCCACAACCCCCGCCTCAGCAATCACCACACTATTTTCCATGTCCATGAGTTCTTCATATTTTTTAAAGTCTAAGTTTTCCTGACATCTTATATTCCTCTCCAGCACAAGCAAGTCTACTCTATTTCTTTCAAAAGATTAACTTACATTATTTGGAAAACATAACCTCTTTTCAACCAATAAGCTGAAAGCTGGAAGCTTATACAGAACAGAACTGCTGAGACAGAGAGAGCGCGACGCGCAGCTGAAGAGGAATGTGATGTTATTTAAGAGTACAGCAAATATGTCATAGGCTTTTTTTAGTTATCTTGTCACTCTGAATCCCTTTGAAAGCCTGTCAGAGTGAGGCCATTTCTGACCCATGTGAATGCAGCTGCAATGCTAACCTTACATTCCTTTTTTACAAGTTACAGCCTATCCACACAAAAAATCACCACTATTCAGTAACAATTATAAAATATGCTGTAATAATCCAACAAAGATAATTAAGACCAAAAAATTTATCATTACACATGCTTTTCAGTTACATCAGCTGTACTCCCATGAATGAAATTTCCCTTTAGATGTTTAAAGTTTTAAAGAGTGAATGAAATAACACATTTTGTTTAGAAAGTAGTAGTTGAATAGTATTCAGCATTAATTTTGAGATTAGACATCCATCTACTTTGCATTTCAGTAGCACAATCTGTCTGAAATATCACTAATATTTTATCTTAAGAAAACCATAAGAATGGTGTTCTTAATACCATAAAATGATGACAAAGCAGTAAATCTGATGAATTTGAAATTTCAAATTTGAAAATTTGAATTTTCTGATGAAGGCCAGTTGGTAAGCTCTTGCCAATTAAGGATATGCAATATGCTTCTAAAAATCTGCAAAACAAATAATGTATTCCCAAAAGGTAGTAATCGAAAAAATTCTGGACTTACCTTTATTTCCGCTGCTTTTGACTTTCTCTGCCAGTCCCACACAGTAAGCATATGCTCATTGGAGTCATCGATCACACACAAATGAACACCCGAATCCTTAAGAAAAGTCAATAAAAGGCATTTAAAAATTTTCAGATAAGGCTGACTTTCTACGAACAAATACTGTATTTTTGAAACTGCCAATATTAAGATAATCTAAAATCTTTTAACTTACAATTCTTTGAAATATACTGAATATACTAAGATTGTATTTTCTTTAGAAATATAATATTCTTTTAAATATTTTCTTTTTAAAATTTTTTTCCCTAAGTTGATTTCTACTTGCCATCCAGCCACTTCTTTTATTCAGAGATAGCAAATAATTCATTTTGTGGATCCCTAGTCTCTCCTGCATCTTATGTTTCCCTTTTGCCTTCTTGTATTTAAAGTATATTCCCTTGAAGTAGGAGTGAAAAGTACATAATTTTATAACTTTGCTCCTCAGTTTTGATAGTTTGATGGAAAAAGCTAAAATTAATGGCTATTTTAAAGTTTTCCAATTTCAGCTTTCCATAATATACATTAATATGAATAAACAAAATAAACAAAAGCATAACTAAATTCCTTTCTACTTATTTTTCCAAAATGATTTTCATTCACATCATTTAAGTCTCCCAGTGTAAGAAAAGCAACTGTGGATGATATTTACAAGTTATTTTTCTCCTACTGGCATTTGCAGCATATGTCTTAGATGTCCATGGAACAAAGAAATACTGTGGTGAAGAGGAGAGGTACCAAGGAAGGGCAGAGCTTACTCTCTTCTGTTGGTCTTTGTTTAGCCTGTACTGGAATGACTACCTAACCTAGGAAAAGTGAGAGTAGGAGGCCATCCAAGATAGTCTTAATGTTGCAACAATGCTATCAATAAGATGACAACAGTCCCTGCTATAGATTTTAGCAGGGAGAAAAAAAAATAATGAAAGTATTTCTTTTCTGTCCTTTTATCTCCCTTTCTAAATGCCTTTCTCCCAATTCCTGACTCATCTGGCTCTTAACATTCAGAACCTTCAAGCTAGCAAAGTTGCTATATCCACCCAAATTTATCTTTCTGTCTTAAAAATGTCCCTTCCTCCTCCATGTCCCACAAAACTTCCATTATCCAGAATACAGCTGCTGACAGCTAAGAATTGAAGAGAAGATATGAATATATAAATATATTCTGAAGTATAAATAAGACCCAATAAAATCTGGAGAAATATTTATATTTGAAATAAAATATTACAGATCCTAAAATATAGGTGTCCCATATACTTGATAATCATTACATATAATTCAGGAGTAAACAGAATGTTTAAATGAGTAAAATTCTGTTTTATTTTCCCCTCATAAAAAAGCGTCAATGGTTAGGTAAGAATGCTAAGCACTGAATTTTAAACTTGTGTTGTTATCAATTCAGAACCAAGGTAATTCATGACTTCAGTGAACACAAAGGTCTGATTGTTTCTCTTGCTCCAACATGACATTAAGAAAAGACAATGTTTGTGCATATTCGGCCAAGTTTTGTGTCTGTGAATTTTCTAAATAAAGCAGAGTGCTTCATCATTCAAACTAAACAAAAGCACATCTTGTTGCTTGTTTTAATTTTACAATGCTATGCATGTATTCCTCTAATGATTCCTGATATTATACTAGAATTCTATTTTAGGATAGAACAAAATTAAGTATAATTAAGTGTAATATCTTGGATCCTAGCTAAACCAAAGTACTTCAGTATTTAGGTTAAAATTCTGGCTAATATCTCATGTTTTAATTCAGAGTTATCACTTTCTGTGAACACACACACACACACACACACACACACACACACACAACTGAGCTTAACTTCAACTTCTTTGTCCCACTTGCTTACTTCTTTAAAAATTGTTACTTACTGCTTTTGAAAAATCCAGGCATCCTACTCCACGTTCAAAAGTTCCAAGTCCAATAATTTGCAGTGTGGATAGACTAACTGAATCCCACACTCTGACATGGGGTTGCAGAGGCTGCAAAAACAAGGGGAAAAACTCAAGACAGCAGGACTAATTGGTACATAGGTAGATGCCAGTAAGTACCACTACAGCACAGAACTGCTTGCTATCTTTAAAAATTAACAGGGGTGAATAAATATCTAATAAAAATAGCTACTACACTTAGATATGCCCCCAAAGAATCCTGAGCAGGTATTTTCCCCTCACACCATGATAATAAGCATATAATAATGATAAGAGTAGCAGCAGCAGATGATCTGAGTATTTTCTAAGTGCCATACACAATCTAAGTATATCACATGTATTAATTCATTTAATCATCAAAATTCTATGAGCTACGTACTATTACAATCACCATTTAACAGGTAAGAAAACTGAGACAGAGATTTAAATAACGTGCCCAAAGTTACATAGCTATTGAAATGTGGAGTCAGGATTCTAACCCAGGAAAATCTGCTCTGGATACGTTGCTTTTACAGCACTACCTTTATTTCTGGGAAAATAATACTTTTAAAAATTAGCGTTCAATAAATTGCTAAGCAAAGAGTTCTTAAAACAGAATCTGGAACTGGAAGGGGTCTTACAAGTATTCCAATATAACCCCTCCAACTCCTTTTCAGTGAAGCCAGAGAATGCCATGAGTACAGTCATATACTCCTAATCACTCACCACTAATTTTCACCGCTGATCCTTACATATAAGGGATTTGTTATTTAAGCCTATTTAGTATTATTGAATAGTAACTAAAAATTTTTAAGTCCTATCAGTGCTACTAATATATAAAATCAAGGGGTCCTTCAATTTAGAGAAACTGCAGTACCACTGGCATGCACTGATAACATATTCTATGTAAAAAAAAAAAAAAAAAAAAAAAAAAAAAAAAAATCAGTAACAATCTTATCGGTCCTCCCATTTTATTAAGTAAATAGTTTCCTTAGGGAGAACACTTGTTTTTTAGGAAAAAAATATTTGAATAGTATGATTCTCTTTTGTTTTTTGGAAAGTTCTTATATTCTAGTATTTTTTTCCTTGCTTATACTAGATCTTAGTTAAGTTTTAGAAGAACAAAAATGAGATATAATAAAAGGTACCATCGATTCTAGTCTAACAGCAATGTCACTAGGTACAAAAGGTATAAAACTGTACCACTCACCCTTCCATCTTTATCCACTCCAGCTATCTGTCCAGTTGCAATCCTAATTTTGTCAGGGTGTACAGCAAGGCTAAAAAGCAGTATTAACAATTTTAAATACAGGAAGGGCATGTGAAACAGCAGAAGTATCAACACTTTTAAAGTAGTTTTTTTAATCATTAAAAAAAATCTCACCCTGTTTTCTTTAACAAATCAAATAAACATCAAGTATCAAAAGCTTTGTTTTCTAAGTTTTCAGCTGTACTTCTTTCTTTGTTAAACTTGAGACAAATTAATCAAACACTAAATTTGAAGAAAATATTCACAATCGTGATATAATAAATTAAACTGTTTTCTTTTTTCTTTTCTTTCCCTTTTTCTCCTACCTCCCTCTACCTGGCTTCCTCTCTGGTAATCACCATGTTGTTGTCTATGTCTAAGAGGCTGGTTTTTGTTTGTTTGTTTTTGCTTTAATCCCTTCACCTAAACTGTTTTTTACTCAAGTTCCTTTCAAGTCTTGCACCTATGGTCATATACATGTTCACATGGTCTTCTGACAATAAAGATGCAACATTACATTGTAATTTTAATCTATTAAAACATAAGCATTTTTCCATTTTGCTACATAACCCATATATATTAACCTATCAGGTCTTCCGTTATATCTACTTGTCTACAAAGGAACACAATGGCGAACATCTTCATGCCTAGTGCCTCCAACCTTTTAGTTAGCTCTTAAGGCTAAAAACTCTTATGGCTCAAAATCTGGGGGCAAGAAACTTTTTTTTTTCCTGGCTGCTCACTGTTTATGGGGTAAGAAACTTTTAAGTACAAATGGATAATAGTACAGTAATATGCCCACATTCCCCATGATAAATATATTAGTAACTAACAAAAATTTTAAAAAGATGTCTTCATGTCTGTATCTAGAATCTTTCTCTATCCTGCAACTGAGGGGCAAGCTCAACTTGAGAATATATATTTTTGTTCTTGGTATGAGTTGCTCATTGCTTTCCAGAAGAATAATATCGGTTTAAATGATCATAAGAAATAAGAATGTTTTAAAAGTTTCACTATAATTTCCCCAAATTAAGAATTGTATCTTTTAAGGTGTTCTGATAATCTGACTAGTATAAATGATAGCTTGTTTTAATTTCTTTGATTACTAAGGAGGCCAGAGTTTTTTAATGTTTCTTTGATACTATTTCTTCTTACTAGATAGTTTATGTCCTTTATTCAGGTTGACCACATTAAAAGTAACTAAAATCCAATACATTAACATTTGCAGTATCTTTTTTAAAAAAGATCGATTATTTATTTATTTATTTATTTATTTTCAGAGAGAGGGGCAGGGAGAGAAAAAGAGAGAGAGAGAGAGAGAGAGAGACATCAGTGTGTGGTTGCCTCTTGCATGCCCCCAACCAGGGACCCCAGCCCACAACCCAGGCATGTGCCCTGACGGAATCAAACCAGCAACCTTTAGGTTTGCAGGCCAGTGCTCAGTCCACTAACAGCAGCCAGGGCTGGAATATCTTTTAAAATGCGTTTTAAAACAGTATAATTTCTGGAGTTCCTGTCAAAATGGTAGAATAGGTAAACGCTGTGCTCACCTCCTCCTGTGACCACATCAAGATCACCACTAAATTACTACAGAACCATCACCCTTGAGAGCCATCTGAAGGCTACCTGAACGGAACTCCTGTAACTAAGGATATAAAGCAGCAGCTGTGCCCAGGCTGCTTATTGACAATTACAGTTTCTAGTCAGAGACACACACAAGTAAAATTTCTGGATTAGGCTATACAACTGAATGGTTCAAATGTTAAAGCTATAAAAAGACATACTGAGAAAAAAGTCTTTCCTCCTCTGCCCCATCTTAATCAGTTTCTTCTAATTATTAATTCTGGGAATTTTTTACATATGTGGAAGCCAAGATGAATATTTATTTCGCACCGCCCTTTTACACATGGTGAAACACTGTGCACATTTTCCTGTTCTTTGAGCTTTGTAATTTGGAGTATATATTAGAGGTCTTTTCATATCAATATGAGTAAAGAGCTTCCTCATGCTTTTCTTAGTAACTGCATAGTAACCTATGGGTGCATTATAATTTCACTAGTCCCCAGCTAAATAATATTGAGGCTGTTTCCAATTTTTACTATCACAAACATGTTGTAATAAATAATTCTGTACATGTTATTCTTCCAGTGTAAAAGGCAGTATTTCAATCTTTAAAAGTTTAACAGTATCTATATAATATTCTAATAGTCATATATTAATTTTTTCTGATATAGTTACAAGAATAGTATGAACATAGAGAAGCTTTTAAAATGTTGGAAAGTATTACATTTAAGCAATAAACTACTGAACTTAATTACAAAGTAGCAAAATTATTTGAGTGATTTTAAAACATGCCTAAGCATTTAAAAGTTCTCACGTTTTTTACAGTTTGACCCCCTATGGGATACTTACGATCCCTGTTCAATTATGATTTCTTTCTCCCAAAATTAAAATCAAGTCCAAAAATTTATCTTCATAGGCTTAATCCTCAATAAATATTTAGTAACTAATATTCACTCTCAGATATCTTTAAAAGTCCAGTGTGCCCAACATAAACTTGATACTACTGGCCCGAAGAAAAGGGTTATAGAAGATCTGAGAAAGCAGAAGAGGTTCCAATTGAGATTTATAGGTGTTTTACGGCTGCAGATATCACACCAACTATTTTGGAGGCCTGTAAGTCCTTTTTTCTTTTCAAAATATGTTTCACACAACGTCCATAATATCCTTAAATTCTGAGTGCTCTATAAGAAATTTCCAATAAAACCAAATATTTTTTAAAAACCCAAAAACAAAAAACGGCATGAAATTAAAAATCAAGCAATGTTAAATGATACCAACCATTTCACACAGTCTGTATGACCCAGGTAGTGTCGTTGAGTTCTCTCTTCATAATTAAATAGCACTACTACTGATGCTATGAAATAAACTATTTCCCCGGTAGGAAGAAGGTAAACATTAGCTCGACAGTCTTTTCCTCGATAACCGTATCTTAAAAGAAGAGTCAAGTTTTTTAACAAATATAATTTTCAAGGTGTTAAATTAAATAGTCAAGGATACTTAAGGGAATCAGAAAGGTATACTGTAAAGAAGACTGGACCCAACTCAAAAACTCCTATCTGCCAATGTGTTTGAATCTTAGTTCCCCCATTCACCAAATACATACTGAGTTCCTGATGTGTCAGGCACAGAGCTAAACATACAACCAATGTGAGGCTTGTGTCCCTGGAGTTTATGCTCTGGCAAAAATGATAAAAATGAAGGCCAATTATATTGTTAGAAATGGTGGAAAGAAAAATCAGAGGATGCTAGAGGAATCATATTGTAAAAGTAGGACCTAGTTTAAATGGAGAGAAAAACAGGGATCAAAAGAAGGGCTATCTGAGGAAGCAACATTTATGCTCAACCTAAATGATAAAGTCAGAGATAACCAGGCAGTATGGTAGGCAGAGTGTCTACTAAAAAGTTCGGTAGGGAGAGCGTCTATTAAAACAAAATTTTTTAAAAAGTTGATTTTAGAGAGAAAGAGGAAGGGGGTGGAGAGGGTGGAGGAGAGACAGAGACACAGACATGCACACACATACCAATTTGTTGTCCCACTTATTTATGCATTCACTGGTTGATTCTTGTATGTGCCCTGACTGGGAATTAAACCCACAGCCTTGGCTTATCAGGACGATGCCATAATCAACTTAGCTCCCGGCCAGGGCGAGAGCCCCATTTTACAGTCATTTCTTTAAAAAGTCTGGCTGAGAACAGAAGCTAATTCTGGAATTAAAAGCAACCTTGTTAATTTGAGCTCTTAATAATTCACGTTATTTCACAGGTTACAAAATTCTTAAACTGATGTTTTCTTATTTAATTCTCACAAGAGGTCTGTGAGGTAGGGGTTATTAACCCCTTTATAAATGAAGAAAGTCAGGTTCACTTGCAGTTAAGTGGCAGAGAAAAATTCAAACCTTAGTCTTCCAATTCTAGTCCAATGCCTTTTCTACTGCATCACAAATACCTGCTGTGATGATAACAAACTGCTTGCCCTATTTAAAAACTTTAATTCTGTGGATTTTAATTGCTAATAGCAAAAATATATAAACTATGTGATAGGATCAGAGCTGACATCTTATCTTTTTACTTTCTCAAGTGGCAATTATACTTACTACTTTTACTTTTCTGGGATAAAAATCATTTTGGTAGAGGTTAGGTAAACTTTTTTCTTAAACAAAGCAATACATTTCCAGTCATGGTAGAAAAGGATACGCCCACTCCAGTTTGAGCTTCTCTGGAGGCAGTTCTGTTCTGATGTCATCATAGTTGTCAACATCAGAAGGAAAACACATTGTGATTGGCCGACCTCGCATAAACATTTTAACATATTCTCCTTCTGTTGAAACACAAGACAAAAATCAAATCAGATATCTTTTTTGAATAATCACAGAAAGTGGATTATTAATATGATGCAATAAAAATGATAAAAAAATAGCTACTTTGGAGTTCTAGTCTCATTATATAGTATCCCTGTGTAAAGATCTAGTCCAAAACATTGCAGGAAAAAACATTTAAGGTCATTTCCTTAAATGAGAATAACTATTTTCATAATTAAAATATAATTTATCTAAGTTGACACATTTCAACAAGACTGAGAAGGTTGAGGTAGAAAAATTAAAAAGAAAGTAATTTTGTCATGGAAGCTTCTCCAACAGGTGAAAAGAAGAGAGAGATTATCAGGGCTGACAACCACCATGTCTACCACACTACTTGATCAGCCTACTGACAGTTAATGACTTACATACCACAAGGAGAGGCGTCAAATACCCTCGTAAGTCAGGATAGGGCGGACACTAAGAGCTCTGCTACGCATGGCTGTGAGCAGGGCTGGGACGGAAAGAGGACCAATGTCCCTTACTTCACAGTTGTGCCTACAATCAGCCTTGGAACTAAGCAATTAAATTCAATAGTAATACACTAAGATTTTTAAAGACAGTGCTAGGAAACAATTTCTAATTAGCAGCATAGGTTCTAAACATCTTTTATTTACATAATCAATAGCTGTTTATAAGATCTGCAATAGTCTAAAACTAAAAATGTCAAAAAGACAACTCTAGAATCAAATCAATATTTATTATATGCCTTTTACAAATGGAAACAATACTTCACTTAAACAGATGAGATTGTGTCTTATGCCTTAAAAAAAGCAAAAAAACAACTCATCCCTGGCCCCAGTATTCCCACCTATATACAGATAGGCTTAATGAACGTTAATAGTGGTTATGAAATGGTTATAAAACAATCTAAAAGAGAAGGATAAAATAAGAGACTGATACAAAGCACAGGAAAGTGTCTAGCACCTGCCAACTTGTCTGGTGTAATGTGAAAACAGCATTAGAAACAGACTGAAAATGTGGTTGTTAACTGGAGGTTGATACGACCTTAGGACCTCTAATAATGACCTATGCTGCTAAAGAGAAGAGTACATAATTCATTAATTCATATAATGCAAACTATGAAAGAAGAAGGAAAGATACATTACTTTTCTCAATGTCTGCACAATGTCTGCAAAGTATTTCTTCAGAGTCAGATTTAAAAATTGTGCTTATTATGGGTGAGAAGTTCAAGTTATTTTTATTATTATTACTCACAGTGTGCTCAGCCTCTAAGATCTAAGAACAGGCTAACACCTCCCACACCATGATTTTAACACCACATGATGTATGTCTTGATTACTTCTGAATCTAAGAGTGGGCTCTGCTTCCTGATGATTTTTAGCATAGCTGAACTTTGATAACTAAATGGTTACCAGCTGCAACTATTTCCCTTCTGCAATGATCTTTATCTGTATCTCTTTGTCCTATTTTTTTAGTTTATTTTCTTATCGATGTGTATTTGTTTACAATTTTCACTTTTTTTTTTTTTTAGAACATAGCTTCTTAAAGGCAGATATCCTGTCCTCTGGAATCCTTTATCACAGAAGCTTATAGTAAGTGTTTTCTGAATGAAAAAATAAAACCTTTAATACATGCTTCTATGATCACGTAGAGGAGACTGTATGTCCAGCAAAGGGAACAGGTTAAGGATAGTATCAAAGACAAAAAAGCTCTCCTTTGCTAATAGGAGAATACTACACTGATTTCTCTATCAACTGTCAAGCAGCACAAGCAACTAAGTAAAAGCAAAGGAACTGCCTATCTACCTAGTGCTTGTCAACTTTCCTAATATAAGAAGGGCAATGCTTGTTAGGATAAAAATGCTTTCCCTGCCTGTAAACTGGCAGTACATATGTTGAAGGCCAAGTATGTAACCTAGGCACTACAAATAATTTCTGGGACTGAAAGGGAAGCAATCATGATAGTAGGAAGAACATGAGTTTTGGGAAAAAGACTGACTGGGACCCTTGCTAGCTGTGTGACTTGGCATCATTTTTCTAATACATAAGATACTACTATTCTCGGATTATAATTGATTAAAGAAGACATCATACTGTAAATTACAATATGAGATCCTTGACAAATATTACCTTCCCTTTGAGAAGGATTTTTGACCATTCTAAACACTCTCTAGGAATTGTGTATAATACAAGATTTAACACACCATAAGATCTCTTCATCAGCTTTGCAGTGACTGTCCTAAAAATAGTAAGTACAGGCAAATATGCTAGAATTCTGTTGATTCTGTCATGTGACACTTTAAAACAGTGGTCACAAGCACCTACAGGCTCAGGCAGGAAATGCAAACTGAGAGCAGTGAGAGAGCACAGGACGACTAGGGGTGGGAGAGGACTGGCAAACCCCATGCCCCATCTCAGGGAGGCGGCCGCTAGTCAACTCCATGGAAGATGTGGGCCCAGCGTTGCTAGATTTCCTCATTTTTCAAGAGAGTGGGGAAATTTATAATTTATTGTGAAATTTCCCAATTTTAAAGTGTTTACCCCTCTGCCAAAGGAAAAAAAAAAAAGGAAAATACCATGCAAAAACACACCTTTGGCTAGCACAGAGCACACAGGTCTCCAGTTTGCAACCTCTTTTTAAAAGAAGAAGACAGCCTTTACCTTGGGAATTAGGTAAATATATAAATGGAGAGGAGACTCTTTTATCCTCAATCATGATTAGTCAAATTCTCACTGCAGACTTTATTCTGAGGCTGTCACGCTTCTTCATCTTACAGTCAAAGGTCTTTACAGCTAATTTGCTTATTTTACCCCACTGCTTCTTTCTTTCTGGCTGTCCTCACTGTAATAAAGTACTGTGACAGTCAAGGGGATGGAATGGTCCATAGGATTGGGCAAAGAAGAGTATGATTTGTAATATTAAAACAAAGCCTAGTGGCCCAGAGAAAGAATGTGAGGGAAAGAAATTAGACTATCTTATAACAATTAATACACACAGTATAGGGCTATCAGTATGCAATAATAAAGCTGCTGCTTACTGAAATGTATTAACCTCAACATTTTATCTCCTACCTTTTGGGACTGAAAATTTTTGGGATTGAGAGGGAGGCTACACAACATAGTGGAGAGAACACAAGCTTAGTGATAAAGACTGACTGTGGTTTGTGGACTAGTTTATGCTCCAATAAAATATTCTTAATTGAATCTGATAATGACAGCTTAATTATAAAAGAAGAAATTCTGTGGGATACTGTTATAAAAATACTATTAGTTTTTCCAGACACACATAATGTTGGAAACAAATGAAATCTTAGAGCTCACCTACTCCAATTCTCTACTTTTACAGAAGGGGAAAAACCAAGGCTCAGAAAGGTCAAATGAGTTTTTAGACTATATTCCAAAATTTTGTCTATTATTCGGAACTTGGGAAGCATTTTCATTCTAAAACTATGTTCCATAGCCACACTGCCCAAAATGGCAGCCACTGGTTTTTGAACACTTGGGATGTGCCTAGTTTTAACTGAGATATGCTGTTAAGTGTAAAATACATACCAAATTTGGAAGGCTTAGTATAGAAAAAAGTAAAACATCCACTCAGCAATGATCTTTTATACTGATCATACAATGAAATGATAATTCTGGATGAATGACAGACTGGGTTAAATATATTACACTTAATCTTACCTGTGTTCTTTTTACTTTTTAAAATGTGACCACTAGGACATATTAAATTAGATATGTGTTATACATTATATTTCTATTAGACAGTACTGTTCAGGCAAGTGGTGAGGTCCTCAGGCTAATCCACAGAAGTCCAATTACCTGACAATAAAGCTTATTTATAATCCAAGTAATACTAGCTTGAGCTCTGAATGCAAACAGCAGGACACAGAAGAGGAGGAGGATGTTTCTGCTCTACTGTCTTTGCGAAGAGTGAATGCTAGTCAAAACTTTGAAACACTTGATGCTACACTTTCCTTTCTACGTCCTTCTCACACACCTCCTGGCCCTTCCTCTTAGGTCTCCTCGGTTTTGTTAACCTTCTGTGTCAGCATCTCCCCTAGGCAGTCCTGCCCCCAAAGTGCTCTAAGTTGTGAACTCATCTTCAAACTTTGTGAAACAGTTATCTCAGGTGTTCTGAGAACCGAAGTACTGCCAAAATGACTCCTACTGATGTACATAACTGACTACTAAAGTTGTTTATACATTTAAAAGATGCTTACCAAAATTTACTAATCTTTCACAGGTTTTAAGAAAGTGAAAGGAAAACTTCAGGCAGGGTGGAAAAGGAAGTTAGAAATGGGCAACTCTGCTGCGGGATCAGTTCCGCCAGTTCTTTTTTTCACACCTTGCCCTATTTCTGGATTTAGAAATTAAAAAAACAAAGCAACAATAACAAAAAACAGCCTTTCAAAGGCAACAGCAGAGCTTCCAGGGTTTGGACCATGTCTCTACTTATTTGTATAATGGGTACTACTGCTTGTAGAAAACCTTCTAAACTTTGATAATGCGTATACATTAAAGCATCTTTCTCCTCAAATTTTTCACTTTCAGAATTAACTTTTTTAAAAAAACTTACAATTTTAGAACTAAAGAGCCCATCAAAACTGGAATTTGCATTTTACCTTGAACTAAAATGTAGCTGTTGTGTGATGCTACCTAATTCTAGCAAACAAACAGAAGATGAAAGAATCTTTACTTAGTTTGAGCTTTTTCTCTGATATTAACAATTCTACCCCTCCAAATCAGAGAACTAAACAGACTTGTAAACAAGATATTAGAAATATTAATTATAATCTTACAGTAGCAAGGGACAAAGAACATTTTAGGCAGGCTAAAATCTTTTCTTAAAAACGATTTATTTTCAAACGTAAGATTTCAAATCCCAATTAATGACCCAGCTATACTGCAGTAATGATGTAATATTTTAAAATTCCAATGAAACAATGTAATCTGTAAGGGTCTTCGGACTTTGAACGAGGAATCTGATTTGTACTATCATAAAGTCTAACTGAAAAGTCTAACTGTAAAAATAGATTACAAAGAATGTAGATCCCCAAATTTAAAAAGGGAGAGTTGAATTAACAAGAATATAAACTAACCTAATTTTACAGATTAAAAAATTTCTAGTTGTAATGCTTGCCAAATATTATGCAGTTAGTTTTACTGGCTAGAACAAGAACCCAGGTCTGAACATTTTGACCAAGAACTAAACTACTACCTTAATTTTCTTTGTTCGACAGGCAGAGTTCTACCGGCTGGTAAATTTTACTGAATTCTTAATTACATGGGGGCAGGCAGGGAGTGTGCACAAGAAGATATAAAAGATGTGAACCTTGCCTCTTAGGAGCTTACAACAGAGACAGAACCAAGTCTTAAACAACTGCTAATCAACTCCTATACTAATTAGTGTAATAAGCCAACCTGCAGTTAACTACTTTTTTGAATCAAAACCTCCTTTAATCAGATTTCTCTTTGCTGTTTTGTTTACAACTGTGATTGTTATTAAATTACTTGAAAATATCAGCTATGGAAGTTTGCTTAAACATTTTAGATTATTTTTACTCCCTGGAAAAGTCTTTCTTTGGAAAAAGAGGAAAGAAGTATATTCCAACAATGTAAGACACAGGAAAATTTATTTTAAGCACTAAGTAAATGAAAAAAAGTTTCACTTCATCTGCATAGATCAAGTTGTATTTAATTTTTTTAAAGAAAGAAATTAAAAAAAAATAAACTTATGATGTTAAAATATTTATCCTTCTAGCTCTTTCTCAATTATAGTAGAGTCAGAAGCCCCCAGGGGAACAATAAAAACTTATATATGAAATTCTCATTAAACAGGATTAAAAAGAGGCTTCAGCTTTACCTTTAATGCTTTATTTCTTTAAACAACAACAACAACGAAACCCTGAGTCAAAGCAAAAGACAAAGATCTCATAAATCTGGGTAGTCAATATATGGGTGTTTGCTATATTATCTGCATACATTTTCAGAAAGATTAAAGTATCTCACAATCTTTAAAAAGTTTTAAAAGTGTTATTAAAGGAAATAATCAATAGAATATTTTTGGTGAAATTGTTCCTGAGGAAGCAATTATGAGTACAGTTCAGGAATGCGGTACATGATTTACTATGCCTTTTCTTGCAATCAGTATAGTACCTCTTTTTCTGTTAAGCTTAATCATTTTTCAAAGTGCTTCAGGAAAACAGTAATTGTTAGAGTGAGCAACACATTTTGGAGTCTAATTGCCTTTCTGGACAAAATGGATTTTAAACTATGCGATCTCAGTTAACTGATGGGCTTGTGGAATTAAGACTTTCTGCTTAATCACATTTTCTAATTCAGATTTTTTTAAACTTATGTCGATGGTTGTGAAAATACAGTATGGATGAAAAGTTTTTAACCAGAATAAAATACATATGTATACTAGGATATTCTCTTACTAAACGGCACATTTTCCATGTCCAAAGTGTAGTATGGGCTTTTTTTCTCAGCTAAAGAAAAGGAGAAAGGATTTAACACATATTATTACAAGTTGCAACAGTTTATATTTAAAAAATTGGACAGCCTTAAAATATATTTTAATCTAGAACAGTGTTAACAACATCATCAAGAAATAAGATCTTTGCTTTTATAGGGATTTTATAAAACCTTCAGCAGAGAACATGTGCCCTTTTGGGTCTCCTTTTAAAATACAGAAAATATTTGGCCCTGGCCAGACGGCTCAGTTGGTTGGAGGGTCTTTCCATATTCTACAAGGTTGGGAGTTCAACTCCCATTCAGAACAGATACCTAGGTTGAGGGTTCAATCCAGCAGGGGCGCTTACAGGAGGCAATTGATTGATGTTTTTCTCTTTTTCTCTCCCTTCCCTCTCTAAAATTGATAATAAAAAATATCCATGGATGAAAATTTTAAAAAAATAATGATAATTTTAAAAAATACAGAGAATACTTGGACAAGCCCAGAACCAGGGACATAAGTAATGTTTATACAGCCCATTTTAAAAGACCCAATACCTAAGTTTTATAAATTTTTAAAAAAATGTGATATTTGATTTTCTGCCTTTCCTGCTATTTACACTAAAATAGACTTCAAGTGAGCAGAGCACCCTTTGTCCTAAATTCTGAAACGGCAAAATTTTGGTTACCATCTCAGTAACAAGGAAAAATACTATCTGTAACTCAATTAAGGGCTTTTATCATTTTTTGGTCTGTTTCAAAATGCACACCCTCATAGCAGATGAGAATATACTCCCTCTCAATAGATAACAATATATAGATGGTATCAGTAGGACTGCTAGCCTATATACCCTATAGGTAAATTTTATTAGTTATTCTTTCTGACACAAGGCTCAGTTTGCACAGGTATGATCAGGTTTTTGGACAGAACATGCCTGGAGCCAACAGATCAGAGAAAAACACAAGGCACTGAATGAAAGCACCTGCATTCAAATTCTTTAAAATATAGATTAAAACATGTTAGTAAAGGAACGGGGTGGGGTGTTGGGGGGCTGTCCTCTGCTTTCTATTTGCTGCAAGAAAGAGCTTTTGAAAGTTTTTAAAGGGGCCCTCACAGTGCTGTCTAATGTAAGCCCAAATAAATATATGTGAGGAAACTGGGGTCCAAGGTCTCAGTCACAGGAAAAAAATTATGGGACGAACAATGTTTCCCTTTTTTTCATTTCTTTCAGCAAATGGAATTCTCCCCAACTTACACTTGTTTTTGATCATTATAGGATTCTGATTCTTTAAACTTTTGCAGTACAGGTCACTTCACCCCTATCTAGGTCTCACACTTACGCTCCTCCCACTGTACCACTTTGCTTCCCTTTCCTGAGTGAGGTGCCTCGTGAAGCTTCTGTTCCTTAGAATGAATCTGTATTTTATAAATGTAATGGTTAACAAATATGAAATTCTATGCACACTATGATCAGTGACCCCTTGCTTTTCCTTAACACAGCAAGAAAGCTCATGTCTCGGGATTCATGTACTTCCCGATTTCTTTCTTTTCTCCAGATAGGCATATATTTCACTCACTTCCCTCAGGAAGCTTAAATATCACTTTATCAGAAATGTGTTCCCTAACTACTCTCTATAAAATAATAGCTCTCCACTCTTCTCATTCTTTCCCAATATAACTTCCTGACATATTATTTATTATGTTTCCATGTAGAACATAAGTTCTACAAAGTTCAGACATTGGAACTGCTGAATCCCTGAGTGCCTACGACAGGTTCTGACAAAATATAAAGCACTCAATAAGTATTTGTTAAATGAATGAATGTTTAAAATGTGTATCTGGTAATAAAAAAAATACATCAGAGCTGAAACAGCTTTTAAAATGACAAGATTAGAGTTTTCTTTCTCCAATATTGTAAATCATTTTATATTTTACATGATTAGATTATCTGAACTGTTTGGCTACAACTAATTACCAAAGGATTTTAGAAATATGTACTTCAAAATGACTTGTAAAATATTTTTCATCTGAAGCCATTTTTAGACAGGTATCTAGGTAGCTAGTAAGAAATAGTCAATTATGTCTCAATTTTCTAAGATATAATAATTATTCTTCCCTCTAAACATACCTGTAGTTAGGATATTACTGCACTGATTTGATAGTTAAGCAAGAATGAATCTAATCCTAGAGCAGTGAAACCCATTATACGATGATCGTGATTTGGTGACCGATGAGTTCCCTTTTCCTCAATTAAGCAGATTTCTCTCCAGTAGGGTCTGAGTCATGCAGGTTCTCAACATGATCAGACAATTAATTATGTGCTAATTCTTTTTTTTTTAAAAGATTTTATTTATTTATTCTTAGGAGGTGGGGGAGGGAGAAAGAAAGAGAGGGAAAGAAACATCGGTGTGCGAGAGATGTGCCCTGACTGGGAATCAAACCCCTTTTGGTTTGCAGACTAGCACTCAATCCACTGAGCCACACCAGCCATGGCAATTACGTGATAATTCTAAACTGCGTAAGTTTAAGATGCTATGATGGAGAAATGATAAAAGATTATTCAAGCTTCAAAAAAACCCCAAAAACAACACAACCCCAAAACAGGAACATGCAGTAACTTGAGGACATTCAGGTTCTGCCCTAAAATTAGGACATGTGACATTTATTTTCCATATTTCAAAAGTGTCATATACTTGATAACTATTATAAGGATGGGCTTACAAGTTGTACTCATCTTGTTTATTACAAAATTTGTCAAATTATTATCTATTTTCCCCAATAGAAAATTTTATAAAAATGCTTATTGTATCCCAAGTCAGCTTAAAAAACTTCCTAATCAGTAAGTTACCAAATGATTAGTATTGTACTTGAACCTAACTGCTACATTTAACAATAAATAGTCCCACAGTAGAACTTATTCAGTTTAACTAGATATGCTAAGTCTTTGTTTCTCTTGAGATGGGAGCAGAATCTACCAGAAAAAGGGAGAAGAGTATAAAAAGGGGTTAGGCTTCTGGGATTTGAGTGTAGATAAAGATCTAAGTCAGTTAAGAGCCTCTTTTTAGTGGTATAACCTGTCCTTCCACCCACACCTAGCCTCAGAATTTGCCCTGTGTACATCCCATTCTACCTCATACTGCTTTCACTCAGGTTTGCCTTCCTTCTGTTCTAGTGCTGATCAGCAGTTTACAGATCTTCTACTCTGCTGTGGCCACAGGACACAGGCCTTCAAGGTAAAGTTTTCCCTGCTACCTCTCACCTAAATACACCAAATATAAACAGGTTTCTTCCCAAATCAAAGCAGGTGGTTTGAGGCATGTCAGACTTGTCATTGTTTAAAACAAAAACAAAAACACAAAAAACAGAAAATAACTGAAGAAATCAATAAATCATATTTTTGAAAAGATTGTTAACAAATGACATGTATTTTGGATTAATATCTAAAGGAGAAGTAAATGTGTTGTGAAATATGCTACACAAATGAAGGTCATCTATTTAATGGTCATCTTTTCCTCTCTAGACATTTGAGTGCAAGGATTTACAGCCAGATTCATATGCTAACAACTAAACTTTAGTTAAGTTTAGTAAACTTTACTTGGTACTATGTCCAGGTACTATGTTTAAACACTTTATTATCTTTGAGGGTTTATTATTGTCTCAATTATAGATGAGAAAACTTAAGATGATGAAGTTATCTCAAGGTTACACAGCTACGTAATGGAGAATCCAGTCTCTGGACTCCAAAATACATGTGTCTAAACATGTACACTATTTTGCTTGCTACATAGTAGGTTAAGTCTTATAGACAACTCAAGTGTAACTGTCTAAAACCAAACTCTTACACTTTTCCATACATCTACTCTTCCCTCAAATATTCCTTATTTTAGTAGGTGCCTCTTACCTAGCTGCTCAAGCTTTAGCCTTCATAAATTCTCCTCTGTTCCTTATTTCTTCCACCCTACCTATTCCCAAACCATCTAAAATCCATTCATTTCTTTCCACAGACTATGCCTCAAGTTGCCTCTCACACATCCCCATCTGGGGACCTGGCCTGCAATCCAGGCATGTGCCCTGATTGGGAATCAAACAAGTGACCTTTAGGTTTGCAGGTCAGCGCTCAATCCACAAAGCCACATGAGCCAGGGCAAAATTTATCAATTTTTTAAATGGTTTTTCTAAGTACAATTTTTATTGTTTTTAAAGAAGTAACTTCCTTTTAGTATTTTATACCTCTTTGCAATGATGTACTTATTTCTACTGTTGACCTTGAACCTTCAGAACTCACAGACATAAGGTGGATTTTTAGAGAAGTAGTTGGACTCACTAGTTCAAATTACCATACTGGTATTTCTTTTATTAAACGGAAAGTCAGGCAGTATAAATACTGAAAAGCCAGATAAAGAGATCTAGGAGAAATTAACTCAGAAGGTGACTGACTACATAGCTTATTCTTACCTTGGATGTTTTTTCCCCCACAGGTTGACATTTTTGCTGGTTGAGATAAAAGTGACCTATCTTTCAATAAAAGTCAGGCATTTCCTTAAATGACTATAGTGACACACTTCTCTTTAATTACTATGTGCTGATAAAGTACATGTAATGAAAGTAGTTAATATTCTTACCAACTGGCAAAAATTTAACTGATATAGAAAAGCAACATAAATATTTTTTAACAGGATTTTTAATTTACCTTGGTTGATGATGACATCTTTATGCCTACAAAAGAAATCCAAAGATGATTATTTTATAATTGTATTTGGCTGACCATTATTAGAACCACCTGAAGAACTGTAAAAGCTTCAGTGCTTAGATCATACCCCAGATAAATCTCTAGAAGTGAAATTCGGGCATCAGCATTTTACAAAGCTTCTCACTGGTCTCAACCACTAATATATACTATTTTATAAAACAATGGATATTTCATAAAATCAACTAAATGGTGAAAGCATTAGAAACAACTTATTAAAAATACTCAAATCTTAGGGGATCATTAGATTTACCATTTGAGTTGAGGAGCATTTACATGAAAATTTATCCTTTTTTAGAACACTTTAAAGAAAAAATACACAGATGAAAAAAGATAAATTCTAATACAGGTTTTTATTTTTTTCATTGAATTTACTGGGGTGACAATGGCTAATAAAATTATATCGGTTTCCGGTGTACAGGTCTGTATCCTCTGCACATCGTATTGTGTTCACACCCCACGTCAGGTCTTCTTCCATCACCACTTATCCTGCCTGCACCCTCCCTGGCCTCCCCAGCCTTCCTTCCTCTCCAGCAATCACCATATTGTTGTGTCTATAACACAGGTTTTCTTTTCTTTTTTTTTAATTCAAACAAGGAACTTAGTTGTACATGCAAGCATGATAGTTACAGAATTAATTTTCAGATATAACTGAGAAACTAAAATACTTACTTGTCTGTATTTTTTATAACTTTTGATATTAATTTTGATGTTGAAACTGCCTTTAATAATTTATTACGACTATCATCTGAATTTTCCCATGAATTATGTGACTTCTCAGCCGTTGGTGGTCGTTTTATGCTGGAAGAAACATATTAATTTCTTAGAGAAAAATTCTGTAAATAGCAATGACATGTAATTGACAGTTTATATAGAACACAAAAGCAGCAATTAACATTTCCTTAAAGCTAATCCAGAAAAGAGAAGGAAGGATTAGTTGAAAGGTTCTGCCTGGATGAGTGAAGGAGTTAAGCAAGGCAATTACTAAGCCTGTGTCATAGTTTTCACTATTATTCAGATTTATTGAAAAAAAATTACTTGATTTTTTAAAAACCTGTTTTTTTAATATTTGTTTAAATCTCCAAGTAGCTAGCATTATTTCCCACAGTTTGTGAAATTGTGTGAATTTGTGGGGGGGGGGGGAACCTGTACTTTTTCATAAGTCATTATAAAGCTGCTATTTTCATTTTTATGGTCTCATTATAGATAGTACAAATGACAATTTCTAAAAAAAACTGTAGGACCGAAAGTAAAACTCTTGTTTACATCTTTTAGAGACAATTTTACCCATGACAGAAATAAACACAATGTAATACAAGAATGTTGTATTATCAACACTAATTTCATTTATTTGTAACTGAAATTTTTTGACTTATAAATGAATTTTTGGATGCATTGCTAAGTATCCTATAACTCATCCAGTCTTCAAGACTTCTCGCAATAGCATATCCAAAGAGCAGTTTAGAATGGCAAGCACATTTCCAAGAGACCTTAATAAGCTGAAAAAAAGATCTGGGACAAAGAAGATACCAAGTCATATCAGAACCTTTAAGAAATTGATTATAAAAACAGGCCACCTTTAACCACACACACTTCAAAGATGCATAACATTAATAAGCTATATCCAAGAGAAACTCCACATGAGACCAGGCAGAAGAATTTGTGTGAGAAACACAGACAAAGCATTTTTAAAATGTTAAACATGCATCAGTCAAGTGAAGGATTTTTTTGTTTTCCCAAATTTCCATTAGTGATTTGAAGCAAAATATTAAACAGGTCAAATAAAAAAAACATTATAAATCTTTTAGGAATAGTTGTCATTTATTTTACCAAAATTCTAGCCAGTTCTGGGAATGGTTTAATATATTCCTAAGATTTCCAAGTAACAGTATGATAAAATACAAGGGTAGGCAAAAGTAGGTTTACAGTTGTGAGTACGCAAAAGTTTATTCTTATATCATTATTTATTAATTATTGTTATATTTTCCCTATGAACACCTGTAAACCTACTTTTGCCCACCCCATACAACTATACCTGATCATAAAGCTGAAATCAGCATTTCTAGAGCTGGTCTAATTATTTGATTACAAGGCAGCTGTAGCACTGAACTCCCAGCATGCAGGTTCAGATGCCCAATTCAGGGTTACACACATTGTTAGAATGTTTCTCCATTCTCCCCCTCTCATAACTTTAAACTACTAATTATTACAGACACAGAGAGAAGCCCTCAAGCAAGCCTTTAGCATAGAAAAGACCAAGTGAAATGGATTCATTTCTGTACTCAAGCAAGAACTTATCCTCCTAAAACCCAAAACTAAAACTGAGATGCAGTCACAAGAAGAACCATTTGTTGAGAGGGGTCCTTGAAAATCGAAGGTTGTAATGATGCCAAAATGTGGACAGGATAATTACATATTGTAATTTTCTATCCATGGGGAGAAACTTATGTATGGTTATTTATACATAATTTTAAAATATTCTGTAATTTTAATTTTATTAGAAAAATGTCTGGGTTTTAGAGTAGGTTATTTCTGCCTTTCTTTCATCAAACTGTTTAAAACAGTTTTCCCCCAAGTTTTAACTGAGAAATTTTGATCTTAAATCTTCATTTCCCAATGTGCTAAAATAAAGATTATAGAAACAAAGAAGGAAAAATAAAAGCCGTCAGGCTTTCTCTTGGAATCCATGGATAGTCAGCTTTTTCTCATGTCATAGAATTTAGGTATCATTACAACCATTCCCTAGCTCTGAACTCAGGGACAGTTAAAACCTTTTGGTGGGAGTAGAATTCTTGCTTTCTTGAGTTTGTCTGGGTATTTGGAGAGGCTGTGCAGAGGGCTGGGGAGAAGGTGATGCTCGAATTTGTGGACTTTGATCATTAGAATGAGATTCCTCTTTTTTTTCTCTCTGTCCTTGTGGTTTTTCTTTCTTTTTTTCTGTACCACTGTAAAATAAAGTATAACATGGAACAACACAAATTTAAACAAAAAAGATATATCAAATGATGGGAAAAGTGATTGTTATATAATTCAAAATCCTAAATCATATAGTTAATACAATTTACATTGCTTTCCTTCAATAATGAAGATGTTTCTTTGAAAATTCTGGAAGCTATTAAAAATCTTTAGTGAAGAATTTAAGAATAAATAGAGTAATATATCTGTGAAGGTTGTCTGTTTGGACCAAAATGACCTCCAAGGCATTTGCCATCTTAGCAGATTTGGGGGGACCATTGAAGATCTGACTTCAACTTACCCAAATGGGAGCACTAGTGACACTCTCCATTACCTCTGTAATACATACTGACACCCAAAGCACACTGAATGACCATGTTTAGTAATTCTTTAATTCCCATTTCTTCTGTATACTTCTACTCCTGCTGGCTGAGTTTTAAACTTACCAAAGGTCCACTGCGTTTCCCCCCCCCCCCCAATTTGTTTTTACCAGTTATATTTGTTATTTTAATTGTAATTAAATACAAAGAAAACAGACAAAATATACATAGACAAGAGATCTGAAATTTCTATGAACACTAAGTTAAATGCTCTGGAAGACTCCATAAAAATGAGTTGCTAAAAAACTTGCCCTTAAGTTTTGTGTAGGTGAGGCAATTATAAAAGATCATGGGGAAAAAAATCATAGTGCAAGACATGGGTTCTAATTCATGTTGTTTAGCTAGAGTTTTAAATTTCTTTGTTTTAAAAAATGAAACTAAAAATTATAAAAAATGGTTTATGGGTCTATTTTATACAAGATAATAGGGAATCTAATGAGACACATAGAAAGTGGTGGGAGGCTCATTGAAATTGACAAATAAATATATGTGAATATAGTTCATGTTAAAATAAACTATGTATAAATTCTTGTGATTCTGCACTCTGACTCTTGATTAATGAAGCACCTGCCATTCCCAATCACATGGGATAAGAATCTGTATATTGCGCACTTTGACAATACTATAAAACAGAATCAACAGCTTGAATTCCAAAGTTGAAAAGGTAGGAAACTATCAACTATCTACACATGTTAATCAAAAAACACTTTGTAATACGACTATAAGGTGCATAATCTAACAAGAAAGCATGTTTAAGAACATTTTTAACAAATATACGTAGTATATACAATTTATCACATTATAATAGTTTAAAATGTTAAAATAAAATTTTGACAGTGACATTTCTTAATCTGATTCAGTTCTGCTGTCTTCAGACTGTCCCTTGACTGCCTACTCCACATGCAGTTTTTTTTATGCATGTGCTGAGAAATACAATTCTATCTCAAAAATATGAGACTAACTGAAATTTTTATGTGAGCTAGAAATTGCTTCTTTTTTGTTCTTCAAACCATCCTGAATGCACAGGTCAACTACTCTTATGTGGGCCCAGTAAAACCTAAAAGAGGTTTTCCTCCTGGGTTATTTAAAAGCAGAATACAGTGGTACCTCGGTACTTGTTAATTCATTCTGGAACTCGTTACAAGTGCCAAAAATTACGAATATCGAATAATGAAGCATTTGCTCTTGTGGGGCGGCATGGTGACTCACACAAGTTCTAGCAAGTCCCGAACAAGTGCCGCGTGCGGAAACATTTTTTTCTCATCAAAATGCGACCGGTAGAGGCTTTGAGGAGTTCTGAAGCCAATGAGTACTGAGCTAGGACTGTACTACAAAACCCCTGCATCATAAAGTAACAAACTCAGTTGGCTTTAGGCTGCTAGGTTGCTATCATGTGTAACACTGATCAGTGCACAGGAATATAGCTATGTAAGAAAATGGACTGAATCTAAACTATTACTGGGTACAAGAAAGTTAATTAAAAATTGTATTAAAAATTTTCACTCTGCATTTGTTTTCTTATAATTTGTCTTTTTCTTTCCTGAAAGTGGAGCACAGGTAATAAATTTTGGCATGCTTTGGAGGGGAAAGTCAAGATTCTGTAATGACAATGACTTCACTGTTGTTACAGAAGGGGCTTTTAAAAAGCCTACAGATCTTGCCATTTCTTCCCCATTCCCGGTTAAGAGGAATGGTGTTAGCTTCACCCTGCCCGCCAACTCCCTCCACCTCACACCCCGCTTACAAATGGATACCTTTTAGCCACACTGGTGAGTAACTCAGTCACTGGCATTAGTTTATTGAGGCAATCATTTTTTATCAGTACATTTTAAATATTATTCTATTACTTAAGGTCCTCAATCATTCTTTGAAGGAAACAGCTCTAAGAGTATGTAGTTGATCTCTTGTGGTCTCTCCAAACTCTATATGGAATAATTTGCTAGGAATTACACAAAAGCAGTTTTGTTGAAACAACAGATTAAATTAATTATGAAAAGAACATAGAGAATGTAAATCTGTAACCCACAGAAACTTTCATATGGCAGTACTTCCACTGCCCTCCAACCCCTAACACACACGCACGCACGCATGCATGTGCCACATACAACAATATTTTGAATTGAGTCCTAATTTTATAGTCGTGGTTAAAGAATAAAAGTTACATAGTGTTTAGCTAACATGGATACATAGCAAAGACTCTATTTTTCCTTTAAAAAAGCTGTATCAGAGAATGACAAATATTGTATGATTTTTATGATTCTACACTTTTACGCAGAATCTAAAAAACAAAACAGGCAAAACAAACTCAGACACAGAGAACAATCTGATGGCTCCTAGCAGGAAGAGGGGTGAGTGGAAGGTTGGGCGAAAAAGGTGAAGGTGAATAATATGTACAAACTTCCAGTTATAAAATAAATAAGTCACAGGGATGTAATATACAGTATAGGGAATGTAGTAACTAATACCTTAATAAGTTTGTACAGCCACATACGTTATTAGACTTACATGGTGATCACGTTCTAAGGTATATAAATGCTGAATAAATAAATGTTATGTCATATACCTGGAAATAACACACTGTATGCCCACTATACTAACAAACAAACAAGTTGCCATATCAAATATATCACTTACTATGGAAAATCCACTTATACAATTACATTAAACACAGAAATGTTTATCTCATCAACAAATGCTTGTTAAAAAGAAACAAAATCAAACCAGGAAATGCAAATACTTTTGTTTTTCAGTAACCACCAAAAGCTGTCTCATACAACTCCACAGGTGTAATAAATCCAAATTGAGTATTGGCTAGATGTGTCTATATTCAGAGTTAAAGAATTCAAAGGACATACTCACTTGAATTCCATAAGCTCTATTTCATATCTGTTTCAGAAGCAGACTGAGTTATCACATTCAACCATTTAAAAATGTTAGTTTGCTTCACCCCTCCCAACACCCTCCACCTCCCACCCCACTTACAAATGGATACCTTTTAGCAGCAGATGAAAGTGTTTCTTTTCTGGCTACTGAGACAGAGCTGGTATGACTTGGTTTTCTGTTTGCTCCACTCCCATTGGTTATACAGGTCATGGAAATAGCTTCTCGAATACCTGGCTGACCTAAAGGTGGTTAAGAAAATATCTTTATATTCAAACATCAAAATATTTCTCAAAGATTGGAGTTTAAAAAATTAAATCATTGGTGTTTGGAACTAGTAAGCAAATTGCTCCCACTGGTATACAGCCTAAAAACATTCTTGTCTCAAAATTTAATCTCATCAGAACAAACTTATGGAGAAGCTATGCTAAGTTGCTAAATTGCAGCTAGATCATTCTCTGGCTAAATGGTCTGCTTTCTACACATAGCAGCTTTAAAGCACATGATTTTAAGTTGTGCTTCAAATTAAACCACAAATCCCCACGTCACTGATTTTCAGAAACAGTTCAGGTTCTGCTGAAATTTAATTATAAATCCTAGAAATTGTAAGTGTTAAATGTTATTCCATATTAATAAATCATAAATATACAAAGTAACCTATGCTTTTTAAACTTATACAGGAGGATGGGAATAAACGTATGGGTATGTCAGAGTAGTCAGAAAGATTCGAAATCACAAGATAAAGCATCCACATATACTCAAGGGCTAAGGTTATTTAGATCTGAAACTAGAAAATAGTTTTGAAATTTTTGGACCTAGTTTCCTCACATGCACACAACAAAAATCTAACTTTTCAATATGGCCAATCTTGTTTTGTTTGTTTGCTTCTCTTCATAAAAGCACAGAGTAAAATACTTTCATGTATAAAGCCTACAATATCTGGCACCCTAAAGGGTTCCATACATGATGGTTTAACATTGCATTTCGACATGAATAAGGAGGTAGGGGCACCTGTATCATAATCATCTAAAGTGTTTCCTTAATATAGATTCCTAGACCATACCTGAGACCAAATGACTGAAGAGAGGAAGTCGGAGACCTACTGTATTTATATTTTGAGACTTCATAGGGAATTTTTCACATATTATAAGGTACAACATGCCCCCCCCCCAAATTGTGCTAATATCACTGGTCATCAGGTCTAGTGCTAGTCTGCCAAACAGGTGACTTCTTGTTGTTTTATAGTCTAAAAAAATATTATGGGAAATATAACATAAAATTTACCGTTTAACCATTTATAAAGGTACAATTCAGTGGCACTTAGTATATTCACAATGTTATGCAACCTATCAGCATTATTCAGTCACAGAACATTTTCATCACCCTGAAAAGAAACCCTGTACTCACTCATTAAGCAGTCGCTACTCCCCATTCCTTCCTTCCTTCCCCCAGCCCTTGTCAACCATTAACCTTCATTATTTCTGTAGATTTGCCTATACCAAATATTTCACATACATGGAGTCATACAATGTATGATCTTTTGTATCCAGCTTATTTCACTTAGCAAAATGTTTTCAAGGTTCATCCATGTGGCAGCATGTATATTTTTTTTTCTATGGCTGAAAAACCTTTCATTGTATGTAAGAATACATCACATTTTGTTTATTCATTTATCTGTCATGGACGTCTGGTTGTTTCTATCTTTTGACTATTTTGAGTAATACGGCCATATAAACAACTGCATACACATTTTCATTTAAACATCTCTTTTCAATTCTTTTTAGGTATATAACTAGTAGAACTGCTGGGTCACATGGTAATTTTATGTTTAACTCACTGAGGAACCAACAAACACAGCAGCTGTACCATTTTACAAGCCCACCAGCAATGTATGAAAGTTCCAATTTTACCACATTCTTGCCAACACTTGTTATTTTCAGTTTTTAAAAACATTTATAGCCTTCTCAGTGAGTGTTAATGGCTATCTCACTGTGGTTTTCATTAGTTTTGGATTTAGTATTTTTTCTTTTTCTGTTTCCTTAAGGTTAATGTTAGGTTACTGATTTGAGATCTCTTTTTAACATAGACATTTACAACTATAAATCCTCTGAGCACTGCTTTTCCTGTATCCACAGTGGGTTTTTGGAATATAAATTTGTTTCTTTACTTCTTGTTACACATACACACAAACACATTAACCACTATATAAAAACCACATAGAGTCGGCAATCCACTTCCTATGCTTTCAATCCCCTAAACCTCATCTCCAAAGAGATCACACTTTTTAGGACAGCTACTATTTAAAAAAGAAAAACAAAAACAAAACACAACAACAAAAACAATCACACAGAAACAAAACAAGCATTGGCAAGGTGTGGAGAAAGTGGAATTCTTGTGCATTTCTTGTAGGAATTAAAAGTGGTGCAGGTGCTGTGGAAAACAGTACTGGGTGTTCCTCAAAAGATTAAACATGGAATTACCATATGATATAGCAATACCACTTCTGTGTATAAATCCAAAAGACTGAAAGTAGGAAGTGAAGTAGATACTTGTATACCCATGTTCACAGCAGCATTATTCACAACAGCCCAAAAGTTGAAACCACCCAAATGTCCACTGACCGGATAACCAACTGCAGCATAACAGGCCTGTCCAGAAGGTATCCAGTCATGTCATATGAAAAAGAGAGACATTTATTGAAGGACAAACAAGACACATTGTACATAACAGGACAATGACGCCTCAGTCCCCTTCAAAGTAGGCACCTTGGAATCTCACACAGTTCCAATCGCCATCAGCTGCCCTGTTGTATTTTCCTGAATCTCATTGACAGTCTGAAACTCTTCCCTTTCAAAGTGTTTTTAGTCTTGGGAAAAGCCAGAAGTCACAGGTCACCAAATCTGGACTACATGGCTGAGTCACCTGGGTGACTTGATGTTTCGCCAAAAAACTCTGCATGAGACGTGATGCATGAGAAGGTGTGTTATTGTGATGAAGGTGCCCATCACCAGTTGCCTATAGCTGCAGCCTTCTGAATAGTTTCCGTGGAGGAATGCTCAAACTCAATACAAAATTGGATGCAGATTCGTTGTTCTACTTGCTCAGTCATTTTGAGTGCAATGGCTACACAGTACACATGCTCACTCAAGGGCGTCTACTGTTCCCAGTGACTAGTACAGTGAAGCCGTCCTTGTTCATGCATGCACATTCCAGTCCCCTGGCCTTGCCTGCCAAGTTACACGGATGTCATGCAAACCATTCTCATTATGTTAACAATGGCTGGCTTTGTTCCGGACAGAATGTGTGTGCGTATATACAATACACATTATTCAGGCTAAAAAATGAAACATAGTATTACATGGGTGGACCTTGAAGATGTTTTTCTAAGCGAAAAAAGCCAAACATAAAAAATTAAATATTTTAAGCTTTCAATTTGATGAGTTAGTACCTCGTAGAAATAGAAAACAGAATGGTGGTTGCCAGGGACTGAGAGGGAAAGGATGGAGCAAATACGGAGTGACTGTCTAATGGTACAGAGCTCAGTTTGGGAAGGTGAAGAAGTTCTGAAGGTGGGTGGTGACGATGGTCACAAAACAATATAAATGTATTTAATGCCTCTGAACCGCACACATACAAATAGTTAAAATGGTAAATTTCATGTTACGTGTATGTCACCACAATAAAAAACATGAACACATCACCAATGTTTCTAAGTCTTAGAGTTTACTGTTCAATTCTTCAAAGGCTTTCAAGACTTATCGTTCATTCTCCCATGATTAGATGGCGGTGTCTGTATCAGAGCTTTGATCTGTCTCAGCAGGCTCTCTATTCACATTCTCCATATTTACTCCAAAAAGGCATCTTCTCATGTCCACTTCGAGGCCTATATGTAATGGCTTTCAACTACTGAGCCAGTTTTGACGTTTAATCCATAAAGCAGTAACAATAAAAAAAAAAGGTGTTTGTGCAATTACCTGAATATTTTATTCCCTTTATTATGTAAAATGAATGAAAAAAACAGAAAAATGAAAGTGCTGATATGAATGAAAATGTAGGTCTCAAAAACATAGTAAGGTTGACATTTTTCTAGTACTACATGTTGAAAATAACGAATCTTTAACCTAAACTGAACTCTCATTGGATTTGTTGATTATATAGTCACTAGTGAAAGAAAACAAAATTTTTAAAAAATTGGAGAAATTTTGGAGCCACACCAGACTGAAGTCAAAATGATAATTTTATTATCTTTTATTTCTTTATCAGAATCTCCTCCTCACACACATACATATAATGTAAGCCTTTCAGAGATGAATTATGTAGGAATATTCTATTTCTAAAGAACTAGAACACAACAGTGAGATAGGCCTGTTACTGCTGAATTTCCTGTGTTAAATTATGTCCAAACCTGTCTTATAAACAAATAACGTAACAAAGTTTCATGTTCTTTTAAATCAAGAAGAAAGAAGAGATCATGTTTCATACACACCAAGTTAGCAATTGTCTCCAACAGAAAAACGTACTACCAAAGTGTAAATGGAATAATGGCTTCAGTTTCTAAATATTCTGACTAGAGCCACAATTTGCAGAAATTATGAAATATTAATTACTCTAACTAATTTTGGAATTTAATCATCTGTGAGTCTTCGCTAAACAACAAATTACAGGCATTATTCAAAACATATATACATGACTCTGTATATATGTATAATTCATAAATACATAGTCTCTGCGTTTCATATGGAATGAAATTGTTTCAGCTGTATCTCAATTTTCTGCATTCTCTTGAATGCTATTTAAAAAATAACTACCATTCTTTTACCAATGCCTCAAGTGGCATATCAACCTGAACTTAATATTTCTAGAAATTACTATCTTAAACTAACATTTCATGTTGATACTGAAGCGATTGTTGTTATTCCTTCCTCAGCAATTACACTATGGTGAAATTTTAGTTACTGATTATGAAATATCCTCTTCTGAATATTAATATATTTCTCAGACTGAGTCACCCTATAACCAACCCTTTACTGAACATTACTTGAAATACTACTGTGCCGAAAAACTTGAAAACTGACGAATTAAAACTTTGCAGAGGTTTTCTAATCCTGTTCATATTACCCCATCCTGTAAGAACTGCTGTTAAGTTTATAATGAAAGGAAAAAAAAGGAGATTGTTCTGCCATTATCAGAAGCCAAACCTTGGTTTTGACTTCTGAAAAGTGTAAATATATACCATTAGAGC